CTGGAGGTTGAACTGTCCCAGGACTTGGCCTCTGTGCTGTTTCTCAGACTCGTGAAGTGCATTTCCTCCTCGGGGCCTTTGTAATTACTGCCGCTCCGCTGGCTGCTCTTCCCCCACATCTTCCATATCTGGTCCCTCCCCTTCAGGTCTCGGCTCCAATGTCACCTCCTCAGAGTGGCCTTCCCTGACACCAGCCGCCCTCTACCACACTGACCACTTCTGGATTTTCTGTTTTTTAACACTTATCCATTGACCCACCCACTGGCCCTCTCCTCCATCAGCATCACGCTTCGGGATGTTGAGGTCTGCTCACGTGTTCTCACCACCGAACACGGGCTGGATGCTCCATTAATAGTTGTTGAAGTAAGGTCTCCCCCAAAGATCAAACTTCACAACGTACCCACTAGACTAGTGGTCAGCACACCTTTTCTAGAAAGGGCCAGAAAGTAAATAGCTGGGTTTCGCAGGCCACACGGTCTTTGCCACAGCCCCCCTCTGCCACTGCGGGGTGGGAACGGGCTTGGGAAGCCTGTCACCGAATGGCGTGGCTGGGTTCCCCGGACACTCGACGGACGGCCACAGGTAGCAGAGCAGATCTGGCTCAAGGGCCACAGTGTGCACTCAACCAGGATAAGTCTCGGACCCCATCTTCCTCGGTGAACAGTTCTTCGTCCTCGTCCTCGTAGCAGAGCTGCAGTCACCTGAGGCGAGGCCGTCTGGAGACTGAGTGAGGAAAGCAGCATTCTCGCAGGCAGCACAGCGCTCTCTCCTCGCGTCCCCGCCTACCCGAGCCGTGAAAGCGAAGCGAGGGAGGCCCGGGCGGTGCTCGCTCTTGGCCGCCTCTCGAGCAGCTCCAGGGGAAGGCAGCAGCTGCCTTCGCTGCGGAGGCCAGACAGGGAGGGGCCGCCAGCAGTCTCTGGAGGCACGGATCGCTCACAGACTCCAAAGCATTCATCTGTTTTGCGGAGTCTTCAGATTCCAAAGAGCAACTGCATGACAGGCTGCTGTTTCATCCACCTAGTGGAACACTGAAAAAATTCCTTCATCCAAATAACGTGCAAAACAGCGGCTTCTTAACTCCTGACGTAGGGTTGCAGTTACCATATCCACGATCCAGCCACGATCCATGAAGCATCAACACCCACTCCACCAAGGTGCCAGAGCCAGAAGAGAGCCTCTGTTCCTAGCACACAGTAGGCCCACAGGAACGTTACGCATGTCTCCTCCCTCTAGGCATGTCACAGTAAGCTCGTGGTCATTTGGCCAAATGATGAAGCCAAAACCAGTGGGGGACTTGGGCCAAGCCTTGTCAGCGTTGTAGGAAGTAGATCTGACTTCGTTGGTTTTGCGCACCCAGAGCCACTGACTCCCCGGGGCCTTCAGCATCCCCGGTCGCAGGAGCTACCCATGGCGTGGACGTGGGTGTGGCTCAGTCTGGCCAGGCCCCAGCAGTTCTGCAATGTGCCCACCACCTTCCCCGGGACTGCCACGGTGCTATGAAATGCAAGTTCCCTTTCTGTGAGCCTGCACACTGAGATGATGTACGGCCCAAAGCTGCCGGGTGACATCTTCTACGGAAGCAGAATACATCGGCAGAAACCCAGTTTCCCCAAAGCCCGCTCAGTTCACTGTCGTCGTCTCTGCTTCTGTGGATGTGTGCCCAGCGTCTGCTCCTGCCCCTGCCCCTGCCTCAGGCAAACAGCCCTGGGCCTGCTTAAAATGTCAGTCAGTCTCTAGCAGTGTGGCCTTTCAGGGCTGATCCCAGAGAGCTGGCACAGAGCCCTGCGGGAGGAGACAAGGCCGCACACAAAGGGAGCAGAGCCGGGAAACCGAGACAGACCTGGACCCAGCCGCGCACACAGCCAGGCACCCTGCATCGCCCAGCCACAGGATCGGTGAGATGCCCCATCCGGCTTCAGCCAGTTGGAGGTGGGTTTCCGTGACTTGAAACCAAGAGCCTTGACTAATGCACGAGCAGGAAGGCACCACTTCTAGGAGTCTCAGAGTCCCTGTCCATTTGTGTCATAGGCATTTATGGAAGACTGTTCCGGTTACCTAACACTGATAACGAGTTACCCCCAAACTCAGAGGCCTAACAGTCACAGGTTCTGCGGGTCAGGAATTTGGAAGAGCTCAGCTGGGGAGGGCTCGCTCGGGGTCTCTGAAGCGGCAAGTGTGAGGTCTGCCGGGGCTGCAGTTGTCCGACGGCTTGACCAGAGCTGGAGGGTCCACTTCGAAGGCACCTCGCGCATGCGGCTGGCAGGCTGGCCTGGCTGCGGGCCACAGGCCCCAACTCCTCTCCACGGGACTGCCTGCGTGTTGTCACGCCAGGCAGCTGGCTTCCCCCGAGCCGAGTGGGAAGTGCCATGCCCTTTATGACTGAGCCTGAGAGTCACGCATCATCACTCACTTCTGCCACGGTCCATTGGTCACATAGAAGTTCAGTGTGGGAGGGGACTACACAGGGCCATGTGGATCACTGGCGCCCATCCTGAGGCTGGTGCCTATCCCAAGCACCCACCATCAACTAGGCTCTGGAAAGACTAACGATGAAGACACAGCTCTCCCCACTAGTGGACACCCACCCTAGACTAAGCAGAACGCAACCACACCAACTTTGTGCCCCCAAACCTTCCCAATTCTGCTCTCCGGGTTGTTCCAGCTTTTAAGGGAAGGGGAATCCTGCCTATTAAGGAACTGGATGTAAGTGTTTAATCACCTAGCTCATCGGTTCCAGAAACAATGCTGACAAAAAAATTAAAAGGTCCTCCGCCATCTAGTCTTTCCCATGACCCAACCCTCCACCGCACCCTCGGCTACACATCCCTGTGCCTTTACTGCCTTTGTTACAGCTCCTGCCCACATCTCTGGCACACGACTTTCATTTGCTAAAGCCCCGAGTTAGCCCCCAGACAACCTGGCACGGAACGGCACTGTCTCGTTTGCACAGCAGGGACAGTCAGTCCTAGTGGTTAAAAACTCTTGGATCTGGTTCAAACCTCAGCTCTGCCCCATGTAGTAGCTGCGAGACCTTCCAGTCTCAGTCTCCTCCTCCATAAGACGGGCTGGAAGGCCAGGCACTTCAGACGGCCATGAGGCCCCGACAGACGTGCACTGAGGGCTCAGCGCGGTGCCTGGCAATGGCAACTTCTCGGGGCCTTCCTGATGGTGCTCGCAACTCGGGAGGGCAATCATTCACTCTCGCCTCATTTCGAATCTGTTCTCCTCTCAACTGGATAACTAGCCGTAAGCACAAGCGCTTCCTTTCCCGCTGGCCGTCCCTCCAGCGGCGGGCCCCTCTGCACCTACACGCAGGCACACATGCTCCGCCCACTTTCAGCCCTTCCCACGGCCCCACTCCCAACAAGCCTGTTGGTTGAGAAAATTCAAAGCAAGAAAACCCAGAAAAGAATACCGCGGTGAAGGCAGCATCTTAGACACTTTCCTAAAGGTCTTTGGAGTGTCCTCATTGAAGTGTTATGGCCATTTTAACAAGCGAAAATGTGCAAGTAACAAGTTCTCCGAGAGCTTACCATTTTAGACATTTAAAATTTTTTCTCAGGGGAAAAAAATCTGTCTCGTATCATTTCTGCCCCATACAAAATCCTGTAACAACATTAACACTTACACCACACAGGGGGATCGGGAAATGAAGAACATTACAGACAACTTCCCAATGGACTGAGAACTACATCAGCTTTTCCCAGAACAGAGCCCTTTAGAGTCCCAACACCAAAGGTGACCTGCAGCCAGGAATGGCGGAAGACTGCCACCTAATGGCAGCCTCGGGAACTGCATGGAATATATTGACATTTAGTTGTATCTTTCACAAGCTCTTAACCTTTACACCATGTCAATAAAAAGCCCCATTAACATTTAAAAAGGATGTTACAGGGTGTCCACTTGGAATAACAGTAAGAAAACACTCCAAGAAATGGATTATGTATCTCATCTGTCCCAGGTCTAGCAAACCAGTGAAATGGCAAACAGCCCAAGAGCCACTAGTTGGAAATACAGCTACTCTCCAGGTGGCCAAGAGCCAGGAAACCCTCACACTGACCTTCTGCTTTGGTAGTTACACCCAACAAGACCTTCTGCCCTGTATTTCCTTTCTCCATCCTGTGTCCTTCCAACTTGGCTCAAATGTCACATCCAGGAAGCTTCCCTGAGCCCTCAGGTGGATCAGACCTCTGCTTGGTGCTCCTACGGCCACTTGGGCTTCTTCCACCAAGGGATCCTCAGCTCCCTGCACTGCCTTGTCCACTTGCCAGTCTTCCACCCAACGCCGGGTCATGTGCTCTGTGAAGGCGAGCACCATCTACCCACCTACTCGCTCACTCGTGCACGCCTTCACTCCCTCCTGAGAATGCTCACACATGCTCAGCACTGGAGCTGCAAGGAACCAAGCGGACTTGACCTCCAGCGATTCCAGCTCCATTTACAGCGTCATCTACTCTACTCATCTTTATATCCCCAGCGCCTGTCATCTGTGGTACTCAATAAACGTTCAACGGAGGTGTCTCCTCCTTCAGTATAACTTAATTCAATTCCTATCAGAACTGAATTAATGTTGTCCAAATGCTATGAACCCCTGAGGCTCCCTTATGCAAAATGCAGGCCTTACCCATCTTTCATATGCATTTTATTTGGCCAAAAGTATGTGGTCTTTTAAAAAATTTAATGTTGCTAACATTTAAAACCCAGATTTCACAGAAAACACTCCTTCTGGCTGCTCTAGAAATATGAGCACATATTCCTGCAGAGCCCCCGTGAGCTGGAAAAATCGGCTCCTTCAGACTGGGTGGGCGCACTTCCCTCGGCCACAGGCCCCACCCTCCCGTTTTCCCAGCACAGAAGCCACGGGAGCTGCTGTGGATCACCTGGCCGTTGCTGAGGACTTTTTTGCCCCGGCTCTTTACTCGGAAGCTGCGTGCCGCTGTAGGCATCTGAATTTGTGACCCTGGCATTATGCCAATGTCATCTAAGAAATACACCTGAGATGAGCTATGACACAATGAATGGGCAATTTTATTGATTTTACCTCCTAACATACCCTCCTAGTAGTAGATACACGTTGTGCAGTTCCCGGCAGGGATCTTGGGTGCAAAGGGACATTAAAGGAAAGGGTAACTCCAACAGGTACTTCACGAGGGGGCCAAAACCCATGTTTACTGAATTCTTCTTGCAAATGAATGCTGAAGATTAAGAATTACATTCTCATACCACCAGCACAGCTTAAATACCTCTTTGACAAAAATAATAATAATAAATTATCTTCAACTCAGAAAATAAAGTGTGCTCAGCAGAGTGACAGGAGGGTCCAATTCATTGCAATGCACCGAGGGGCCAGACGGGGGAGGACAGGTACAGGCAGCTACGCTGACAGAGGTGCATAGGGCAAAGAGCACATTCTGAAGTCAGTCAAACGCATGCTTTCATGCCAGTGGGGGGGGGGGTGCCCCTTGGCCATGCCTGTCCCAAGTGAGACTTCACTGCCCCTCCTGCTCCTCACGTCCGTCTCGTCTTCTGTTTCTTGGCTTGTCGCTTGGCATCTTCTGGGCCACTACTGTCAGAGGCTGTCTGGCCAAGAGCCCGGACACCCTGCAGTCGACTTGTCAACTGTAACAGCAAGGGAATGAGCTGAAAAGAGAGGGAGAGTGTGAGCGGATGCCAGACGGACACTGAAGCCCTGCATATTAGCACAGCTCCTTTTCCAGCACCCTCACTGCCCGCTGTGTGCTAATGGGTGGACCTCAGCTCAAAATAAGGCAGCTTTGCACTGGAGAGGGTTAGCAGAGCCGGATGGCTCTCGGCAACACAAGCCTAGAAGTATTCCAGGTCTGAGGATTAGGAGAGGTATTGCAGACGTTTACGGCCTTGAAAGGGGGCCTAGGGGTTGGATTTGAGGCCTTTATGGTCCCTTCCATCCCTAAAATGTTGTAATTTCTGTATCACTGGACATTCTTCTGTCCCTTCACAGCTGGCAGGGATCCCTCTCGCTGACATATCTGCTTTCTCACGAGGTCTCTGGATGTCCTACCTTATCATGGTTGTAGCCAGCCAACAGGACAAGCAGCGTCAGCGGCAGGGCGATGTAGGAGCCTTGGGCGATGTCTTGCTCAGGCAGTTTCCTCTGCAAACACCAAGAGCGCCGTCACTTACCTGCCACCCGCTATTACACGGCCATGACCACCTGCCTTCTGAATCGGCTGCCCCCAGACACCCGGAATCCCCCACCACCCAACTCTCACTGTCCAAAGAAACTGGGCCAACTCGGATACGTTCTCGGATGCACCCCCTGCTATCTAAACTCATTACCTGCTCTCTGAAACTCAGGAACAAACAGCCCATCACAGGTATTCCTCACCCCCTGAACTTCCACTGTCTAAACCAACAAAACACAGCACTGCGAGAGCAGGGAGTCCCCGTGGCTGAGGAGTAGACGGGTCTCGTGTTGCTGAGTCCCAGCTACACACATGGGCTTTTTCCTACAAGGCCGTGTGGAGAAGCCACTGCTCTAGGCTCAGACACACAGTATGAACAAGCTAGTCCCAGAGATTATACCAGAGAGGAGGCGAAGCAGCTGCCCCTTGTATCCCAGCAGCCATTTGCCCTTTCTTCCAACAGAACCCTCAACTGTGACCTGGGCCAATCAGAATACAGACCACTTGTCTGTCCTTTTTTACAGTCTGTTTGATACAGATCCAAGAAGGTCCACACATTGCAACTGACTGATGAATTGAGTAATTTCTTTTAATCTACAGGTATCCTGTCCATATGTGGTTATTTTTCTTGCAGTTTATCAAGTAAGTTGGGTTCCAGTTGCTGTCCTGCAGTTTCCCACACCCTGCATCTGGCGGTGTCTGTTACGTGCTCCCGCGTCCTCTATACACGTCCTGTATACTGGCGGCTGGCTCTAGAAGTCTGGGAGGGTCAAGCATCATGCGCCTCCTGGACGACCACAATGCCACCAATCATGACACAGTAGCGCAGTGGTGATCTTCTTCCCGAGAAGTCACACCTGAGCCACTGACCTAAATGATTCCACTTCCCAGTAAAGGGCAATGACCAGTTTCCTCCTCAAAGGGCACTCAGGCATCATTGCTTGGGAAAGGAGCAATGCACCTAGGGAAGTCCAGAGAGCAAAATCAGGATGCTCAAGGGACCCAACGCCTAGGGCCCTTTAAACAGCGGTCCTGCCTCCACCCAATACCTAGAGTGCAGGGTGTGTGACTCCTCCCTCTCCCACCAGCCCCATGGGTTTTTGCAGAACTGCCCCTCTTCCTTACCGTGGGATTAAAAACCAAGGTGATATGCTTGTGGTAGCCTACTGCAGTGAAAGAAACTTGAGGCAAGATGTAGTCATACTGGGATCTGGGAAGCGTGGAGTCCAGGAGCACAACGTAACTCTGTGCACAAGCAACATGTTGTTTTTATAAAGGGCAGTTTGGGCAAAGCAAATGAAAACTAAAACCTAACGTATGGCTGTGATGTAAAGGACTTTATGTTTTAATGAAACCCCCAAGTTTTATACCTTCAAAACCAAGGTCGCTAACTTCAGAGTAGTAGTCTCAGGGGACTATTCCAGCAGTGACAGCCGTGTGCCCAGCATCTCTGACATGTGCCTTCTGATGAAGCTTTCAGAGGCTGTGGCACTTTTTATGAGCACATTCAACCACAATTACAGCCCTTTGAGGATGTGACTTTATGAAACACAAGAATTTCTTATGAGCCAATTCTAATCAGGGAGGGACGTGATCCAACTGAAAAAGACTGTCTGCAATCCAAAATGAGGTGTACTTTTCAGGGAGAACCCTTCGGAAAGGTACCAGTGATGGTCATGGCCCTGCATGCTGAGCCCCGTGTGCCAGATCAAAACCTGCTTTACTCTCAAACACTGACAAGATCGGGGTGATTACCCCCACTTTACAGATGGGGAAAGGAAGGCCTGAAGAACTTGAGTGACTGGCCCGCCATGGCCAGTTTGGCTCAGTGGTCCAGAGAGACCCGGGTTCGGTTCCTGCTAAGGGCACGTATCTCGGTTGCAGTTTGTCCCCAGCCCTGGTTGGTCGTGTGGGTGGCAGCCACTCAATGTGTCCCTTTCACGTCGATGTTTCTCCCCCCCCCCCACTCTATCTGAACAAAAAATGGAAAAATGTCCTTGGGTGAGGATAAAAAAAAAAAAAAAGGTGATTGGCCCGAGGTCACTCAGCTAGTAAGGTACCACGCAGCCTTGGAGCCCAGGAGAGCCCAAGCTGTTTTCACAGGGCTGTATTGCCTAAAGTATCTAGTTCAGGGGACGAGAGGAATGAAGAGGAACCCCAAAACTCCATCTCAACCTATTCCATTACTTTATAGCTATTTCATGCAAAGAAAGGCCGGAGCGTATCATCCCTGTGGCAGGTGGTGAGAAGCCAGGAAGGAAACATCACACCACAGGCTCTCTACTGACACCCTCAGGCTGTCCCCAGAAAGGAACCCAATTCTTTGCAAAGGTTGCTCCCACCACAACTATATAAGTTTTCTCTGTCCAATTAGAATTGATAATAAACATTCTATAGTCAATAAATGATGTCCAATATTAGTACCTTGGTTAAATCAATTATGCTATTTCTTATCCTATGAACTACTGTGCAACCATTAAAAATCATGTTATAAATGATTTATGATGGGAAAAAGATTTGTGACACATTCTTTGCTAAAAAGTACAGGTTACAAAATGATGTACAAGAGTCCCAGCTCTGGGTTATTTAAGTAAATGTATCTGTATATTTAAACTTATACATACATGGGCACACACACTGAAAAAAGTCCGAAAGGATACTCATCAACATGTTAACAGTGGTTATTTCTAGATGAGGGGGTTATGTCTGATTTTCCCCCTAAACTCTCTTATGAACACGTGTTATTTTTGTAAACAGAAAAACACAAATTAAGAAACATAATCACAAAAGGAGAAACATCTGAACAAAAATAAATTAATAAAAATTGGGGAAAAAGAAAAAGAAACATAATCACTACAGAGCCCAATCTCCTTTGATTCAGAGAGGACAAAACCAGCCATTTCTGCAGAGTGGTAGTTGGAGAGAAAATGAGAGAAAGGTGCTTTTTAAACTAAAAGTGAAATGATTCACACAAAGCCGAACGCAAGGGGCACCCGGCCATTACCTGGCCATCTCTGAGCAGCGGCGGGAAGTGGAAGAAGAGGGACTGGCCGAGCGAAACCGTCTGGATTGGGTTGTCGAGGTTTTCGCTTTTGTAAAGCTTTACCTGGAGAGCAGAAACAAAGCAGGACGGGCTTTCTAACTGAAACACGATAAACCTTTCATTCAGACATCCTCAGGATAGCTTATCTCTTGGGGGGAAAGGATCTTTGGAAACACGGATATTTGAAAGATAAATTGTCCTCCTTGGCAGGCCATATATACTGTTTTCCTCAGTCATCTGAGACTCCAGTTACATGACATGCAAAGAAACGTAGATATAAAGCACATTCTGACAACTCATGTTAACATTCAATATGGTTATACTAGTTAGTATAAAGATAAGAAAAAAGAATAGCTTCTAACATATCTACAATACACCAGGCATGGAACAGGCGCCTCACATATATTGTCATCAATCCTGGCTACTAGACAGGCATCGTTATTATACCTAAGGAGACTCAGGGAGTCTGCGTCACCTAAGGTCACACAACTTACACACAGTGAAGCCTGGGACTCAACCCACATCACTGAGGTCTGCCAACCCCCAGCCCAGCAGCACTGCCTCTCCAATATGCTGTATTCTTAACCTTGACACACATTCCCATTTCGCAGGTCCCCCAGGCTGCTTTCAGCAGTGCAGTGCTTTGCTTCTGGCGTGTCTTTCTCTCCAGCCCAGGTGTGCTGCCTGTCACACCCTATGTGAGGGGGCACGAGAAGAGGAAGGTACAGTCCTGGCTGATGCTGAAAACTGTGGGGGCTCCTCCCTCCCTGCACCTGCCACAGGAGAATGCCAGAGTCGCCCCTCCCCAGGGCCCACGCCCATGCTTTCCTATATAACACACAGTCAAGAGGAGTTTTCCTAAAACAAAAGTCACAGGAAATACTGGAGGCCTGTAGGTCACACCCAAGCCCAAATATAAGTTCTGATTTGCACAGTGCTTTAAGTAGATTTGAATTCATCGCTATATTTAAACATCTGGTGATTTCAAATAACTCTAACTTCCAGCTTCTTTGGAAAACTAGAAAGTGACGTCAACCTGGACCAGAATTCCCAAGGTGGTACTAATCAGCAGGGGCAGGGGAGCAGCACCATCACTGCCCGTCTGCTCCCCTCACCTCCCTGGGGTGGGCCACGGGTTCTCCAGTTTGCTCCACAGCCCACCCAGCCCACCTCACACTCTGGCAACATGTGCGTAACCCCTGGACTGAGGGGCAGTTAAAAGGTGAGTTAAAACCGAAGCACAGGTTCTCACCCAAGTCTAATACTTTACTGTACACAACATCCCAAGTACATCTGAAAATACACTCCCAGAGCAATTCATTAACATCCTTCAAGGGATCACAGGGCACTGTATAAACATTTCTTCATTAATTACAGGCATGACATTTTGTTAGAGCTTAGACAGACCTTAAGAGGTCACTGAGTCTAACTCCCTGGCTTCACAGAGGAGAAAACCAAGGTCCAGGGAATGAAGTGGCTGCCCAAGGCGGCGAGGTGAGTAACCACCCGTGACAGGAGACAGCCCGACGGTCTGAGTTCTAGTCCACTGCCCACCCCCACCACCATGGACGAAATTTAAACAGTTACAAAGCACTTGGCCTTAAAATTGTAGTTCTGTTTTAGACTCTAGATCATATTGATCCTTCATTAGGCTCCTACTACAATACTTCCAAAGATACATACTGTGAGCAAAACACAGTTATCTGAAACCAGAATGCATTTCTCTTCAGCAATCAGCAATCACTGTCCCAGATATATGCTTGGATCGAAGTTCCTTCCACCTCAACCTCAACACCCAGCATCGCCACCTTCAGTACACTAAAGCAAGTGCCAGGGTCCAGACATCCTGCTCCTACTTGTCTCAAAGCTGAAAAGAACACGGTATTTTCACCTTAAAAAGCTGGCCTTACCCATAATGTAGAAAGATACTCAGAGGAAGTGATCACATTTCCACTCAAATCAAATTGATTAATCTGCCGGAAAACTATGATGTTGATGTCGTCGATGTCGTTATTGCCAACCTGGGAAAAAATAAAGAATGCTGGTATTGAGGGAGCTGGAAGAGGACCTTCTGCTCCAGGTGTGTGCTGTCCCGGGGCTATTTCGTAACAAACTTCACTTCCTATATTAAGGGAGCAAAGTTTGCCACAGAAGTAGCCTAAGACCAATCTGATAGTAAGTAGATAGGTTACACCTGGCCCGCAGACACATTTTGTTTGACAAATGCAATATTTGTTTTCTAAATTTTAATTATCTGCCAACATTTTTTAAAATTTCATATACAAAAAAGCCAGACTTTCCTGTTTCTCCTGAAAAAAGAGGAAGACGCTCTTGCCTGGCAGCCATCAGCAAGAGCCGAGCCACCGCTGCCCCTCGTGGGCATGTGCCCGCCCATCAGTCCCATGTTCATATCTGCTTGTGATCCTGGCCTAGGTCACCGCAGCAAGGAAATATAAAACTGTAAGGGGCAGCCATTGAAAATGCCAGATGCGCCCTGGCCAGTTTGGCTCAGCTGTTGGAGCGTCGGCCTGCGGTCCGGAGAGACCCGGGTTCGGTTCCCACTAAGGGCATGTACCTCGGTTGCAGTTTATCCCCGGCCCTGGTTGGTCGTGGGGGTGGCAGCCACTCGATGTGTCCCTTCACATCGATGTTTCTCTCTCTCTCTCTTCCTCTCTCTCCCTCCTGCTCTATCTGAACAAAAAAATGGAAAAATGTCCTTGGGTGAGGATAAAAAAAAAAAAAAGAAAATGCCAGATGCCACGAAGACAAAGACAATCCACTCTCTAGGCTCAACAGTCCACCACCTCCCTCTCTAAGCCCTCACAGACCTCATGCCTAGAGCCAGCTACGGAGCCACCAGGAGGCTGTCCCTCTTGTCCCACCCCAGCTCTCTAATCTAGCAAATGAGAGTCATTCTGTGGGAGAACAGCTTCACTTCAAGTGATTCCTGGGCCACTTCCTGTGACCTGGAGGACTGCCTCTTTAGGGGTCAATTAGCTAGGTCATTATCTGGAATATCAAAAACACACTTCCCACCAAATGGAAAAACAAGGTCATCTGAATGTAAGGAAACTGGGTGGCCCTGCTACCAATTAAGCCCATGTTCTCCTTATTACGTGCCCATGATTGGAAAAGCTCCTGTGCCCTAAGATCCTTAACTTGCAGAATAATGGAATAATGATCAGAGTTTGCAGGGAAGTGGGGAAACAACAGTTCACGTTTCTTCTCTGGATGCGTGACAGCCATGCTGTTCATTAAAACCCCACAAGATGCTGCTTGGGAAGATGACACTACTCTAAGAGGATCCTTAATTAGGATCTGAAGTCCCCCTGCAACAGATGAAAGGCAGACAGCCAGAGGAGCACTGTGTAAAGGATTTCTGATCAGGGAAACAATCACACCACGACCGCCGGAGAACGCACGCCTTACCGCAATCACCCGGTGGTGGGGGAGGGCCCGTTCGATGTGATCATTGCCTTCTGCCTTGAGCTGCACGTGGTACACACATCCCGGCTGCAAACAAACCCAGGCGTCACTTCTCTAGCAAGAGGCTTGTCACATGCGACCTGACCTGAGCCTGCTCTGACTGCAGGTCCTCCCCAGGACCACATCTTTTCTGCCTCCCTCATTTCAATTCCCAGTCTGCGGCCTGTCAACTGCCTAAAGAGTTCCTTTAAAAGGTTCCCTGATGAAACATTTATCTGACATCCTGCAACTCCTCGATCCCCATTCAGTTTCTCCGACCCAAGGAAAATTAAATGTGGTTTTCTTAATTTCAAAATTGCAAACATAATAAGCTCTTAGTCTGACAAAATTATTCTTTCCTGCTGCCCAACCCTCCCCTCTACTTGTGTATGTGCACCGAGTGGTATCTGGAATGACCCTCCCAAATGCCACCACGGATATTATTTCTGGGAAGTGGGATCTCAGGTTTTTCCTTTTAAAAAAAAATTATTCTTTATATTTGCTATTCTATTGCTCGAATTTATAGGCATACATCCTGTTTACCAAAAAGTCACCGTTATAAAAACACTTTTTTTGACACTGAAGGATGTGTACATATTTACTCAGAAAATGTCTGGCAGATAGCAGTATTTTGTTCTAAGAAAGCCAACACATAATGACAACTTCCAATAACTGGAAGTAAAGTGCCTTGAAGAAATGAAGTTTTTTGTCTGTCTTTGGCATTGCTGTATGGTCAGTGGCAACTCTGATCAAGAGAGAGATGAGTTCAAAGGAGGATTTCTAGGAAGGCTGCAAATCAGATAAACTCAGCTTAAAAGCAAGGCCTATTAAAAAAAAAAAAAAGATAAGTAACTTTCCCCTGGTTTCTGACCAGACTTCCAGGTACCCCAATATCTGAGAGTGGGGGTGCCCTGGACATTGGCCATGAGTATTCTTATCTTTGGGGAAAAAACAGCATTGCCCCAACATGTCTAAATAAACTGGCAAACTGATTTGCATCTCAGCTCACGTGATTTGGGCAAACATTAGTCTACTGCCAAGATATGTACAACTATCTCTGGGGTTGACTAAGAATATACAGTTTGTGAATCTGAAAGGCAGGGGACCCAACTCCTAATCCAAGTGGCCCAGTCCAAAGAATGCACAAATAAAAACTGAAAAAAGCTCTACAAACTCTAAACCAAATGTAGCTATTTAGCAGCCCAAAGGACAAATAAGGTGGTTATCTGGCACACAAAGAAGTTATAAGTTTTTCTATTAAATTAACCGTTAACATCTAAAAATCAAGAGTTTTCACATGGAAATCTGAATTTGTTACTTCTCTTTTAAAAATTTAAACAATGGCCCTGGCCAGTGTTGTTAAGTGGTTAGAGCACTGGCCCATGCACCAAAGGATCGTGGGTTTGATTCCCAGTCAAGGGCATGTAACTGGGTTGCAGGTTTGATCCCTGGCCCCCGCCAGGGCACGTGCAGGAGGCAACCAGTCAATGTGTCTCTCTTACACCACTGTTTCTCTCACTTTCGCTCTCAGTCTCTATTTCCTCCTTCCCTCCCTTCCACTCTCTCTAAAATTCAATGGAAAAAGTGTCCTTGGGTGAGGATTAACAACAACAACAACAAAAAGTTCCAACAATGTGGCTATCCCCAGTCTGTCTTCCCACATGGCCACAACGAGCTAGAGCTAAGGTAGCTTCTCCCTTTACATGGGCCATGCCCTCTCCAGTGCCCCACAGTCCTCCACTCCCTACTATACATCAAGCCTCCTTCAGCCATTTGTACTTCTCTCTTTTTTTTTTAATAATCCTCACCCGAGGATATTTTTCTATTTATCGTCAGATAGAGTGGGAGAGAGGGAGAGAGAGAGAAATATCGACGTGAGAGGTAAACATCAACTGGTTGCCTCCCGCACAACCCTGACCAGGGCCAGGGATAAATCGCAACCGAGGTACGTGCCCTTGACCAGAATTGAACCCAAGACTCACTGGTCCACGGGCTGACACTCTAACCACTGAGCAACCGGCCAGGACTGCACTTCTCTTTTGAACCCACAGGATTTTGACTTAGAGCCATGGCCTAAGCCACAGCCACCCAATGCTAGGCGAAAGTTACACCAAACCCATGGGTTTCCAACTTCACTCTGCCACGAACCCAACCAAACACATCTGCTAGTTAAAAGGTAAGATATGTCAGTTAAGAAAAAAATAAAAAGGGTTCCAGGACCTTACCCACCTCCCCAGCTCTCTGGCCCAGCCATTCCTGGCAGTCTTGGGGGCACAAGACACCTCCGAACATAGTATTAAAAAAATCCCCTAATAAGCCCTGGCCAGTTTGGCTCAGTGGTTAGAGCGTCGGCCTGCGGTCCGGAGAGACCCGGGTTCGGTTCCCACTAAGGGCACGTACTTCGGTTGCAGTTTGTCCCCGGCCCTGGTTGGTCGTGTGGGTGGCAGCCACTCAATGTGTCCCTTTCACATCGATGTTTCTCTCTCTCTCTCTCCCTTCCTCTCTCTCCCTCCCGCTCTATCTGTACAAAAAAATGGAAAAATATCCTCGGGTGAGGATAAAAAAAAAAAAAAAAAATCCCCTAATAAAACATGCTAAGGGTCTCACCAGCAATCCACGTAATCTGAACTTTCCCTCTTCATCTGTCACGGTGTCCTCCCCATAAATACTACAGTCGTTCTGTCCCACCGCTTCCACGGCAACACCCTGCTCTGGTTCTCCGTTTAGAGAAGAAACTGTGCCGTAGCAACTAGGGGGACAAGAGAAGAAACAAAACATGATAGTCTTGTGATTTTCTGAAGCACACAAAAGATTTCAGGTGAAGTCTCCTGCATTTACCAACAATTTACAGTCCAAAACAGCTCAGTGGAGAATTGTGCCCCAAAGACCCAGGGACACTCAGACCTGGCTGTGTTACTGCCGATCCAGCCTTCCTACCAGAAGGTTTGAGCCAGCCCAGATATCATCAGTATCTTTTTTCATACATTTTAAGGGACACTCTGGAAAACTGTAAGTTAAAAAGGCTAAGCTTTATTTTCTTTCCATTTTATTTTTGTTAAGCTTTATTTTAAATAATGAAGTATTGAATGAAATGAAAATAAATCATTTCCTCTTTTATTCTATTGTGGAAAATGGTCCATTTTTCTGAACCCACTCCTTCTGATTAATCAATGTTTATCTCAAGAGCTTTTGTATATATATATTTTTTTATTCCTCACCAGTGGATATTTTCTATTTATCATCAAAGTGGGAGGGAGAGACAGAGAAACAGAGAGAAACATCGATGTGATAGAGCCACATCTACTGGTTGCCTCCCGCACGACCCAACCAGCACTGGGGACGAACTGCAACCGAGGTACATGCCCTTGACTGGAATCGAACCCGTGACTCATTGGTCCACAGGTCGACGCTCTAACCAATAAGCCAAACCGGCCAGGGCAAGAGCTTTTGTAAATGTATATAAATATATATGTGTGTGTCCTTGTGGGTAAATACACACACACACACACAAACACAAAGACACATGCATTTGCATAAACCATCTCTGGTAGTATTTGAAAACACTAGAAAATTTGAGTAGCTAGGAGACAAGGATAAGAGAAAAATTTTACACTGTATACTCTTTTCAACATTTTAAAGTTTTATTCAAGTGAACACTGTCCTTTTTTAAAAATTTAATTCAAGTTTCCAATTTTTTTAAAAGTAAAAATTTTAGCCCTGGCCAGTTTAGCCCTGCTCAGTGGTTAGAGCATCAGCCTGCAGTCCAGAGAGTATTGGGTTCAGTTCCCACTAAGGGCATGTACCTCAGTTGCAGTTTGTCCCCAGCCCTGGTTGGGGTGATGTGGGTAGCAGCCAGTCGATGTGTCTCTCTCACATCGATGTTTCTCTCTCTCTCTTCCCCCCCTCTCTCCCTCCCGCTCTATCTGAAGATAAGTACAAAAATGTCCTCAGGTGAGGATAAAAATAAATAAATAAATAAAAAGTAAAAATTTTAAGCAACTGTATAGGCTCCCACAGGTCAATTTCTAAATAGGAGCTTTGTGACCGAATCTCTAGTTTGAGATGCTAGAAGGAGAGGGCAGCAGTCAAATCCGTGGACCTCACACCTCACCTCCCAAATAAAACCCACGTGAGGCTGCAACGAGCACCTAGATGACTGAGCGTGACCTGGACACTAGGGGTGAGGGTGATTCCACAGCCCCCGCCTGGGCGAGAGGCGCTGCTTACCTGTACGCCGTTCGGTACCCGGTGATGGTGATCTTTAAGTTCTGCCCTTCGTGCACCTCGATCATCTGGGAAGATGGCTCAAACCGGAATTCTTTCATCATGGGCTTGAAGTAATACTGGCCAGGGCTCTGCCGAGAGACAACCACAAACTGAGCCACTGCAGCCACCTGCGGGTCAGGCTTAAAAGGGGGCGACTAAAGGCATGATGGCCCAGGATTATAGCACAGGAGCTCCAGAGCTCCCTAGACAGGCAGAAATGGTGCCACCGACTCTACTGTGAACAGTCACCATCACAGCAATCACCGTTCTGACAGCAGCAGCTGTCACTATCGTGTGCCTGCAGTGACTGTGTGAGGTAGCCATCATTTGCAATTTAGGAATGAAGAAACTGAGGCTCAAAGGTCAAGTAACCTGCCCAAGATAACGCAGCAAGTTAGGAGCAGAGGAAAGATTTAAACCCTGGCGTGCGTCACTGCACAGCGTACGACCTTCCGGCTACACCTCACTGCCTGCTTGTGACATCCCTGTAATGGTCACTTTATTCCCAGACTGACAACATGGCCAATTAACATAGACTTCCTGAGTCCCTACCAGCCAAGGGCTGAGACGACATCTGGAATGAAAAACTGGTGCTATCCTCACACCATGGGGAGGGTGCTTTGCAGAAGAAACCCAAGCGAACTGCTGAACACGACTCTGTGATATAAGCAATGGGATCCTGTGGTAAAACACAGGGCCGCCTAAGACAGGAGCCACTGTGGCCAGGGTCACTAATTACATTGTCTTTGTGACAAGTCGGTGACCAGAAAACAAGAAGTGTGTGCAGAAGGGAACACGTTAAGTTCTAGTAAGAGCAATACTCTAATTACATTTGCTCCCCTGAGAAACTTCAAACACTCCACGCTGGTGTTCTGTTCTCACGCTGTCAAGCAGTATGTAAGTCACACACTACGTCCCTGCTCCCTTGTGGGGAAGACAGGCAGGCACGAAGTTACAGGACATCTTACCAGGTTTGAGAACGTCAGAATGCCATTGTCCTGAGTCAAGAGGTTGGAACGAAACACGCCACCGCTGAGAGACAGGAGGACCCCAGGGAGGGGCTGGTCATCTTCAGCTCTTATCTGGGGGGGCAAGAAAGAAACACCAGAGCAAGGTGAACTCATATTAACCATGAAGACAATAGTTCACAAATCAAGAGGTAATTCTTATGGGTTGTGTTTATTATTTGTTGGAGGAACAAAAGGTCTGTTCTCATCCCCAGGGGTAACTGATGCTAACAGTTTGGTGTGTAGTCTTCCAGAACTGTTTCAATGCCCACACAACACTTATCATCACTATGGCTACTGTTGATGGGCTGGCAGGTTTACTGGGGTGGGGGAGGTGAGACAATGAAACACTGCACACTCCACACTGTGCTTTCCTCCCTCAACCGTGTATCCTGACTTTCCTCTTCATTCGTCCAGAGATCCACCTCGCTGCTTAACAGCTGCGTAGCATTCAGACGCAGGGGCTGCTAAACTATCCTTGTTGAGGAAAAGAAAAGACAACCTCAAGGTCCCAAACATGTGTATCTTTGTGCACTTAGGTTTTTCTCTTTTCCTGAATAATCAATTCCTAGACCTGTTGGGTATGTGCATTTTAAATTCAGAAAGATACCACCAAGTTGCACTGGAACTATGCATAGTTCCATAAAGCATCCACACATGGGAAAGTACACACTCTCCAAAACATGGATATTGTCTTCATTATTGCAAATCTAACCCAGAACCCAGTGTTTCAATGGTAACTTCCTTTGCATTTCCTCAGTCACTACCAAAACTGAGCATCTCTTCATTTATTAGTCACTTGTATTACTTATGTGAACTGCCTTTTCAGACCCTTTGTTCATCTTCTTTCTTAATCAATTTAAGAAGTTCCTTGCAAACTGGGGATAATACTTTTGGTACAAATATTTCTTCCCAGTATATCTTTCCACTTAGTTCAAAATGTATTCTGCAATGTAGAATGTTCATTTTTTATGTGAGGTAATCTGCCATTCCCTTCCTTCATCCTCCATGTTGAAAATATTCCTACTCGAGAATCTCTGGGCTCAGTTTGTGCATCTCACAGCATCTTCTTCCCAAGACAGATGAAGGGAAGAGAAAAAGACATCAAACACACTGCAGGGACATCCTGTGTCCTTCGACGCAGAGCAGTCTTGGAGGAAAACTTGAAACACTTCTCAAAAGGTATGCAAACAAGCTCAAGTAACAGATCTCCAAATTATGCTGAGTGAAAAGAGCCAGATGAAAAGGCCATCCTGTATGATTCCATTTACATAACACTCCAGAAAATGCAAACGAATCTACAGTGACAGAAAGCAGATCTGATCAGTGGGGTGGGATAGGAGGGATGAATTACCAAGGGGTACAAGGAAACTTAGGGGGTGTGACAGTGTTCACTATTTTGACTGCCGAAACTATGTTGATAATGTATCAAATTCTATACTTTATGTGCAGTGTATTCTATGTCAATTATACCGCAATAAAACACTTCTTAAAAACATAGTGTTACCTCAAAGCTTACGCCTGCCAAGGCATAGGCCTTAAAATCTCCTATGGTTCCTTCCACTGCAGTCAAAACGTAGCCCTCCTTCTGTGAGGACACAGTGTACTCCAGGTCGCTGTGCAGGGGCCCCACGCTGCAGAAAGAGAGCAAATGCAGAGACGGCTTTGCCTCAGATCCTGCAGGAGGCCCCGCCTAACCACAAGGAAATCCTGGCTCCCCAGCTGGTCCCAAGCAAACGTTTCTTAGTCACAGGCTTACCTGTAGGCACCTTTGTCATCAGTAAAGACTGTGATCAGTGGTGAATTTGCCCCCTTTTCACTGATGACAATCTCGACTCCTTCTAACTCTGGGTGGATCTGACCTTCCAGGAATAAACCTGCTTTCCCGTGGATCTCGATCAGCTTCCCTGGGCAGCTTTCTAAAAGGGGAAGAAGTAACAGAAGAATGTGACCTCGCTGCAGAGGGAGGGGAGCCTTCTGGCTGGAGGCTTCCCAATGAAGAAGGGCCTATAACCAAGATATTTGAAGCTAACCTCCAAATGACATTGTTTAATGTTCCAGAAACTTCAATAACTAGAAGTGGCCCAAGCCTCTCTCCACCTGGAAAGGCCTCATTTAACTGCCAACAGCATTAGCAGGTAAACCTAACGAAAGCTGGGGTTTCATCACTCCTCTCTCCTGGTCCTCACAAGGCCACATGCGAGCAGAGATGACTGTACAGCAAGTAAGCTGTGCTGCTCGACCTCAGGGGACCCAAAATGAAAAACCACCCCCAACAGGCTGCCCACTGAAAGCCAGGCTCTTCTACACACTCTACTTCCAAATACAAACCACATAAATGCCCAGGATTGAATGAACCCAGAAGGCTAGCAGTCAAAAGGCAAATACTCCCTAAGTTATCACTTCTAATTATCCAACCCCAAAAAGATCCTCTCATCACCCCCACCAAAAAAAATACAAACACCATGAACAGTTCACACAGAGGATGACTAATGCTCACATTTCAGCAACTGATGGTTTTGCTTTTCACCAACCTCTGGTGTCAAACTGGTAATGTCTAGAAAAGCCAAGTCCTTTTCCAAAAAGATTGTTCCTTTCTAATAGCAAAAGTGACTTTTATTGATATCATTCATTCACTCATTCATTCATCAAACAGCAGCATCTATGTGCCTTACAAAGACACTTTCGCTGTAACGTCACTGAATAAATGTTTAAATGCAAGCAAAGAAACAAGTGCAAAGGTGTGTCACTGGTTCACTGAGTTGACATCTACCTCCACTGACGGTGGCTTCCATGGAAGGGGGATAAAAGAGCAGCTCTTTAGACGAGGGTGTGACAGTGATTTTCTCTCCAGACCTAAAATAATAAAAATACTTCAATTTGGCTGGTTCTGTCCCTTCATTAGAGCGAATATCAAAACAGAGGACACTGCAGAGAAAAGCCCGAAAGAGCTTACCGGGCCCAATAAGAGAAGTCGTAAGAGAAGGGGCCTTGTAACTCATCCACCATCTCCTGGACGGGGGGCTTGGTCCTTCCCTCTCCACCTTCTTCTTTGTCCTTCTTCTCCCGCTCCTGCTTGCGGCTCTCAATCTCAGCCAACTGCTGCTCCCTCCGAAGCTCCTGCACAGACTTCAGGGGGCCTAAGACCAAGGCGGGTTCACTGTCAATGGAAGACCTGGAGGAAAGGAAGGAGCAGCCCAGAGGATGTGGTCACTTGTCCCTGTGGTCGGTGGGCATCTGAATATCTGCAAGGGGTCACCCACAAGTAACAAAACCAAACACCTGTTTACACCTCCACATGGCAGTCTTCTCCTGATGTGAATATATTAATAGTTTTGTAAAAATAAAGGCTGGCCCTGGCTGGTTTGGCTCAGTGGTTAGAGCGTCGGCCCGTGGACCCGAGAGTCTCAGGTTCAGTTCCTGCTAAGGGCATGTATCTTGGTTGCAGTTTGTCCCCGGCCCCAACTGGGGTCATGTGGGTGGCAACCAGTCGATGTGTCTCTCTCACATCGATGTTTCTCTCTCTCTCTTCCTCCCTCTGTTCCTCCAGCTCTATCTGAAGATAAATGAAAAAATGTCCTTGGATGACAATAAAAAATAAATATAAATAAAGGCTGAACTTCTGCCCAATTGTAGTAGCATCTGGTAGATCTGGGCTGGAATGAAATACCACTGACTTTATGACTTGATGAAAGCATGTCCGATTTCCCAAGGACGTGGAGATCTCCCCACATTGCCATCCTTTGTCTTTCATTCCCCCTTTATAGAGAACACCCCCTGCTAGAGAACCAGGCACTGGGATACAGCCATAAACAGGACAGACAACATTCCCTAAGCCTGCAGAACCCACATTCTAATAGGAAGAGGCAGACAAGAAAAGGAAAAATGATGTCACATGACAAGTACAATGAAAAAAAACAAAGAAGCGTGGAAGAAGAAAGTGCTGGGAGCGTGGAGGTACTAATTTTAGGGGCTCAGCAAGGCCTTTCTGATCAGGCAACCCTGAGCCACGTGGCTCTCTGGGTAAGGAGTGTCTCAAGCAAGAGGGCGAGTGCCAAGTCCCTGGCGCCCTGCAAGGGGAGCTCCCTCGGCATGCTCCAGGGACAGCAAGAGACCAAGGCAGCCTGGGCAAAGGGACCCAGGGAAGAGTCAGGTGGTCAGGGGGATCCCAGGGGGACTAGGGCTTCATAGACCCCGGTATGGACTTCGGATTTCATTCTGAGTAGAATGGAAAACCCCTGGAGTTTTAAGTAGAGGAATGATATGATCTCTTCTATTAAAGGCTCACACTGGCTCAACATGGGCTGACCCCTACCAGCTTACCTTTCCTGAATGTCCCCAACCCTGACGAGTTCCAATTCAAAGCGCTTATCGCACTTGTAATGTTACAGTTCTATGTCTGATTCTCGGACTACATGCCTTCCCCATGGGACTAGGGCAGGAGCTGTGGCCTACGCCCAGGCACACGAAGACTCTCAATACATATTTCTCAAAGGATGGATGGGAGAAAAGGTGGTGGACAGAAAGATGGAGACACAGCTGAAAAGGCGACTTCAACGAGAGTAAGGACAGAGAAAGTTACTCAGATTCCCATTCTATTTGACAAAGTCGGTCATGCTCCCAAAACTCTTTCATTTTTCAAGAATATCAGGGTGTCAGATGTACCTCAGCACACAGCAAAAATTCCTCTCAAAGGGGACACTCACATAACCTGACCCTACCTTCAGTGAGGGATGCCCTTTCATAACCTTTCTCTCTCATGACCTTTCCTATACCCTGTGCTATCTGTATTTTCCAAGCCTTTGAGAAAAGGTCTACAAAAAATAAGCAATATTTTTGAATTTTCTAAAACACTTGAAATACAATAAATAAACCAGAGATATATATTGTCCCCTGGCAAAGACAGGCAGTATAAAGAGTGTAAACAGAAATCTATGACACTGAAACAAGCTGTCAGGAGGCTCTTCCTCCTCCAAAGTTAATTCTGGAATCATCAAAGGAAAGGATCAAGGTTACTGTTAGTTTATGGCTATGTCATGTAAGTATGAGAGAGAAGGCCATTGTACATACGCTTAGAGATAAGAAATCAAAAATAATTTTCAGAGAGTCTATTAGAGAAGCCCCCAGGCCCCATCCACCACCCTCCCATGCTCTGCCCACCATGGAACACTAGTCTTACTTGATAGTCACAGTGACATCCATCATTTTGTCAGTGGTGATAGTTCCAAGGACATGATGGCGAATGGCTGTCAACGTCAAGATACTGGGTGAAGACCTATAAATCAAAGAGGTGGAAATAAAACACTACAATATCACCTAGTCATTCTCAAAGGATCACAAACACCGCCCTTGATGGGCCACCTTCCTGACCCTGAAATATACTACATGAAATTGCTCTTAGTTTGGGCCGAAATAACTCCTGAAATACATGTATCAGGGCTTTAAAGATTAAACTAATTCTCACTCTAAAACTTGACACCTCCAGTTCTCAGTGAAACCCGCAGGCATTTGTAAAAGTATAGAAATGGTGGGTTTGAGCTTGAGAAACTCCCATCAGTGAGGGCTAGAGAAAGAGTTAACAAAAATTATATTTAATCTGCACCACAGCCTTCCATCCTTGGTTTATAGAATTCTTGGGAAAGAGATCCTATCTCCATTTTCTCAATAATTTACCCAAGTATTATGCTAAGTGAAATACATCAGACAGAGAAAAACAAATAGCATATGAATTCATCTATATGTGGAATCTAAAAAACAAACAAAACAGAAGCAGACTCATAAATACAGAGAACTGAGGGTAGTCAGAGGGGAGGGGGTTGGGGGCCAGGGTAAAAAAGTGGAAGGGATTAAGAAGTACAAATTGGCAGTTACACCCTGGCCAGTTTGGCTCAGCAGTCAGAGTGTCAGCCCGCGGACCAATGACTCAACAGGTTCAATTCCAGTCAAGAACACGTACCTTGGTTGCAGTTCGTCCCTGGCCCTGGTCAGGGTCATGCAGGAGACAACCAGTCAATGTATCCCTCTCACATCGATGCTCTCTCTCCCTCTCTCCCCCCCACCCCCCATATCCCATATCCCACTCTATCTAAAAATCAATGGAAAAATATCCCTAGTAAAGATTAACCAAAAAACGAAAAAGTTTAAAATTTAAAAAAAAAAAAAAAAATTCACCCAAGTGTCTTAAAATCCTTATCTAAAAACTTTTCAATGCCTTATCTTACCTCTTCCAGAAAAACTACCAAAAATTCCTTTTGTTCTCAGAAATGACTGAAGAAGAGATACACACGCATTCGCTATGGAAGTCACACGGACACCACAGAGCAGTGAACACCCAGCTTACGTGTCATAGGTATAGAACGCTTGCTCGAACCGGTGGCAGGAGCGCGGGGTCACCTTGTACACACCTGCAGCCAGGAAAGCAAAGTCACTGTCAGAGAAGGGCATCTACTGTGCCCAGCAATTCCGACATTTAAAACCCGAAGGCAGCACTTCAGCTGAGGACCCACAACGTACCGCAATGTGCGACAGTGAGATCAGAAATGCCTTTGCTGCTGCTGCTGATGGTGCCTTACCCTTGACCCAAACCATTTAATGGCTATTGACAAGCTCAGAATTTTCATTTCTATAACTTAGCAACTCACAGTAGTGTATCCACAGAGACCAAGCTAACAGATATATGCACAAGAAGGAACAGGAAGTACATTTCTACTGCAACTTAAACAGGACTTTCTACTTAACAGATTCAGTTAAAAATTCAAAAGATAACCACAGCCTGAACTCCCTCCTATAAATATTCCTCAAATGGGGCATGGTACAGGGGAAGGCCTAGAAAATGGTGAAACAATCACAGAAAACACTTTCATGCTGGACGTTTATGCAGGGTAACACTGAATTAGGGGCATATGTCATCACTGGCAATAGTAACACAATCAATTTCAGGAAAAGACAAAGTCAAACAATGCATCCCCCTCCAATGGTCATTAACCCACATTTTTGCCATTTGTCCTACAAAGACTGACATTAGTTCAAACTTCCTCTGTTGTGTACATCACACAGAGGAAGACCTTGTGCAGTTCCTAGTAGAAAAAAATGATTAGCTTTCTCCATTCATTTTGTGTGGTCTTTCATTCGACAAATATGAGTGCACTAGCACCTACTACAAGCCAGGCACACAGCAAGAAACAGATATGGCTGCAGGGGAAGGCCTAGAAAATGGTGAAACAATCACAGAAAACACCTTCATGCTGGACGTTTAAGCAGGGTAACACTGTCATGGGGCTTACTGTCCACAGAGAAAGGCATCTGACAGCCACAGCAGACCAGTTATGCTGTGAGCAACAGCATGACAGGGAGATATAAATAATACTGGAGGGCCCTCCCACCCCCAGAAAGTAATATTTGAACCAAGAAGTGACAGTAGGAAGATACAGCTGGGTGAAGAGTGGGGCATGAGACAGAGAAAGCATGTAAGCAGAGAACACGTGAACAACTGACTTGCTAGTTGCTTCCTCAACAGCTGTCCTTCCTTCCTTGATATCAGACCTGGGTTATGTGCATGGTGGCTATGTGTCCAGCTTCAGCAACACAGTCAACTATCCCAGCCTCCCTTGCAGCTAGAAGTGACCAGTGACACAGTTCTGGCCAATATGACATAAAGAAAGTTTACCAGAGGAGGGGGCATGGAAAATGTTTGCCTATCCCTCTCCTGGTCTTTCTGCCTTAAACATAACTAGTCTTCTGAGGCAATGAGAGCCATCTTGAAAACACAAGTTAAAAAGACAAGGGAAAAGGCTAAAAGAATCACAAAGACACTAACCCTGACATCTACCAGCCACTGAACCCACGCTTGTAGCCACATGCTGCCAGACTTTGTTACTGAGCCAAATTAACCCCACTTCTTAACGGCACTGTTGTACGGATTCTGTCACTTGCAGCCAAAGGCATCCTAAATGACACACATGGCACAGAGGGCCTGGAGCGAAGAAAACAGAGACCCGGCTGGATTATACAGGAGCTCAAGGTAAGGTTAAGGATTTTCTATTTCATCTTTTTTTTTTTTTTTTTTATCCTCACCCGAGGACATTTTTCGATATTTTGTTCAGATAGAGTGAGAGGGAGAGAGAGAGAGAGAGAGAAACATCGACGTGAAAGCGACACATCGAGTGGTTGCCACCCACACAACCCAACCAGGGCCGGGGACAAACTGCAACCAAGGTACGTGCCCTTAGCGGGAACCGAACCCGGGTCTCTCCGGACCGCAGGCCAACGCTCTAACCGCTGAGCCAAACCGGCCAGGGCAGGATTTTCTATTTCATCTTGAGAACCAAGAGGAGTCACTGAATTTTTCATTAGGAAATTTAAAATAAAACCGCAATGAGACACTATTTTACTAGGATGGCTACAGTCAGACAGACAGACAGTAACTAACGTTGGTGAAGATGTGAAAAAACAGGAACCCTGGTGCATTGCTGGTGGGAATACCAAATGGCATATACAGCCTCTTTGGAAAACAATTTGGTGATTTCTTAAAAAACTGAACATAAACTTACCATATGTTCCAGCATTCCATTCCTAAGCATTATCCCTTCCAAAATGAAAACAGATGTCGACACAAAGACTTGTACACAAATGTTGATAGCAACATTATTCATAATAGCCAAAAACTGGAAATATCCATCAACTGAAGTATCTACCAACTGGTGAATGGACACACAGAATGCGAATGTGTATCCCTCACAATGGAATACTATTTAACAATAAAAAGGAACAAACCAGAAATACCTGCTGCAACATGAATTCCAAAGCATGATGAAGAACTTGGAAAACATTATGCTAAGTGAAAGGAGAGAGACAAAATACCAGTATTGTATAATTTCAATTATATGAACTATCTAAAAAAAAGGCAAATCTGTAAAGACAAAAAATTGATTGCTGCCTAGGAAGGAAATTAACTGTAAACATGTATGAAGGATATCACTAGGTGATGAAAATGTTCTGCAGTGGGTTACAGTTGGTTGTACAACTTGGCGAATTTACTAAAAATCATTGCATTGTACATTTTAAATGGGTGAATTTTATGGTCTGCAAATTGCACCTCAAAGTTGTTCAAAGAGAAAGAAGCCATCCAAGTATTTTAAGCAAGGTGGGAGATGATCCAACTTTTATTTGGCTCTTAAAGATAAATTATTGGCAAATCGTGTAATATTTTTTAAAGTGAAAAGGTCTAGCCCTGGCCGGTTTGGCTCAGCAGTTAGAGCGTCCGCCTGCGGTCCTGAGAGACCCGGGTTCGGTTCCCACTAAGGGCATGTACCTCAGTTGCAGTTTGTCCCCGGCCCTGGTTGGTCGTGCGGGTGGCAGCCACTCGATGTGTCCCTTTCACATCGATGTTTCCCTCTCTCTCTCTTCCTCTCTCTCCCTCCAACTCTGTCTGTACAAAAAATGAAAAAATGTCCTCGGATGAGGATTAAAAAAGAAATAAAGTGAAAAGGTCTAATCACTATGTTATACACTTGCAACTAATCTAATATAATATTATGCCAACCATATTTGAAAAATAAAATTTTTTTTAAAAAGTGAAATGGCCCCCCCAACTCAAATCCAAGAGACTTGCCAGTCCTCAGCTTTAATTCTTTGGGTACAAACAGTACTCCCTCCAGAGGAAAGGGATAGAAAAACAAGAGTACGCTGACCACAACCAAAATTGATAGCTTAATGCAAATAGACCTGAGGTAGGAAAAACTGCCTTTAAAATCACCCTCCGGTGCCTTTCTGCTTCCCCGGCGTCTAGCACATCAATCCTCCCAGACTCACCGGGCTTGGACAGGCAGAAGCGGTTGACTCCTTTGGAGAGGTTATAAATCCCCACATTCTCGGGTCCATTTCCATCCTGATAAAATTCCTAAGGGACCAAAGTCAATACAATGACTTACTGGGAGAGGTGGAGACACAAAATGATTAATAAGATTTCTGTTTCAGAACCAGTCATCTGTTTTGCCCATTAATCATCTGAGCAGTTGGGTGCCACAGGAAAATTAAAAACCTTCCAAAACTTCCAACAAAAGCGTGCTCTTTTTCAGTCAGTCAACTAATATTTATTGAGCACCTGCTATGTGATAAACCCAGAGCTGGGCTTTGGTTGTTGACAAGGCTCCTGTTCTCAGGTGGCTTACATTCTAATACAAGTAGACAGAAAATCAATGCGGTCAACAACGAAATTCGTAGATTTCCCCTAGTAAGTAATAGAGCTACCAGGAAAATAAGCAGAGGATCAGGATAGAGAGTGATCCCCACAGAGGTGCCTTTAGCTTTGTTGGTTTCAGGCCAGGCCTTTCCTGAGCAGAAAACATTGGGGCTGAAAAACGAACTACAAGCATTTCTGGAAAAGACATAGCATTCCAAGATGAGGGAAGAGCATGTGCAAAGGCCCAGAGAAGGGAAGAAGCTTACTGTGGAACTGAAGGCCGGTGGGCTGGGGCTCAGTGAGCAAGGCAGAGAGTGGCAGGAGGTAAGGTAGGAGTTGGGGGTGGGCTTTGTTGGCCATCATTAAGGAATATGAATCGTGTTCTAAGGGGAACAGAAATATACTAGAAGGTTTAAGGGAAAGGATGCTTTTCTAATGTCTAGCACTTATTCTTGATTGGGAATTAATTAAATTAATTAATTTGTTCCATTTCCTGGAACAAAGCTGTTTGTTGAGCATTTGCAGTTACGCAGTTAGAGCAGTCAACTGCCATTGCAAACACCACTTTCAACTCCTCCAGTGTCTAACACAAGCAGTCACTTAATTGCCTTTTGCCTCAGTTTCTCTACTGGCCCCTGAAAATGACACTTACCATTGCTTCTAGTAAAAAAATGATATAAAATTCATAAACAGGCCTCTATAGGTCTACACAGGTGTTCCCTTTCCAGAAACCCATCTGGTGTACTACCGTTCAGGCCATGGAGAACACATCAACAAGAGAATAAGGTCCTAACAGCTCTGTCCTCTGAACCAAAATAAATATACTGGAGAAACTGACTCAGCTGCACCTGTTAATAAATAACAGCAGTACATGCCAAGGAAATTTTAAATGCATAAAAGCTTTACTTAAACCTCCCTATAACTCTGAGAAGTGGATATTACGATTCCAGTTTTAGAGGAGAAAAATGAAGCTCAGGAACATTAAATGAACTTGCAAAGGCTATAAAACCACTATGTCAATGACTTCCCCAAATCACCAAAATTAGAATTTAATGTGAAGCCAGGAAATATCCCAAATAAAGGCATCTTCCACTGAGGTATTTTAAATGCTTCCTGATGATGCTTTCCATATTAGGTGGCTGAGTCGAGGGGCACAAAAGGAAATCTGACTACACTATGGTTATAATCTTCTTGGCACGATAGTCCTTCTTGATCTCCAAAAGCAAGTGCCCTCCCAAATAAAAGAGTCCTCAGAAGCACGTACCAGAGTGATGGCATGAGAAAGGGAACATCTCAGCATATAGCCCGTCTGCCTGAACTCAATCGCTGACACGTCATCTTCCAGAACCTCTACCTCCAGACTCTTGTTCTTCCAGCACCAATCTTCATGCATGATGCTAACTGGAAAAGCACACAACACAGAGACACATGGGCACAGGGCACACCACTCCCGGAACACCACCAGAAAAAACTATAATGAATTCACTCATTTTGTAAAAATGTGTGTGTTTATATATATACACCTTAAATAGACATAAATATGTATATACATACATATCAATAAATATTACACACACACAAATAGAAATACTTGGAAGGAGTAACTACTAAAGAAAAATTGAAACCAATGGCCATTAAAATCATCAAGAAAGAAATTCAATTATGTCTAAGCATCAGGCTACAAGTAAGATATTCAGAGATCACCAAACTTTTTCTGTAATGAGCCACAGAGCAAATATTCTCAATTTTGCAGGCCACATGGTCCCAACTATTCAACTCTGTGTTTGTAGCACACAAGCAGCCATAGATAATACATATACAAATGGGCATAGCTATGTACAAATAACACTTAATTTATGAAAACAGACAGTTGGCCTTTAGGCCATAGTTTGCCAACACCTGATATAATGGAAAATATAATTCCCCAATAAAAGCTGTAGTCTTTATAAGCTATTCACTGCCAGCAGCTCCAAGCTGAGCTTTGATAAAACAGAAACACAGGCAATGGAAAGCTTAAGAAAGGCAGGAAGAGAGAACCAGCGTTTGCCAGCGCCCACTGCCTACCAGGCCCTGTGCAAGGGCTTTACCAACTGCATTTCATTCAGTCTTACATTCTGCAGAAAGCCTATCACTCCTCTTTTATAGATGAGAAAACTGAGTCTCAGGGACTGCCAAGGTCACACAGCTGCTAAGTGGTAAAGCACACAGAATATTATTTCACACTCTCTTTTCCAGCATTTAAAAATAAAATGGCACGAATGAGGCACCCTCCCAAACGAGAAGTGTGTGGGCTGACCTGATAAGGTGGCAGTCAGTTCCCAAAGCCTCAGCTCCTGCACTACTGCCCAATGCTAAATAAAGTACATTCAAGGTCAAGAGCGAAAGAAGAGTTAAACAACTAAAGGTATACAACTGGGATACAATTTGAGAGCTGGGTTTTAAAGTGTTTAGAAATATAGGAAGCATGTGAGGGGCATGAGAGGCTGTCTTTTTTTTTTAATCCTCACCCAAGGACATGTTTGCATTTATCTTCAGATAGAGCAGGAGGGAGAGAGGGGGAGAGAGAGAGAGAAACATCAATGTGAGAGAGACACATCGACTGGTTGCCACCCACACGACCCCAACCAGGACTGGAGACAAACTGCAACCAAGGTACGTGCCCTTAGCGGGAACCGAACCCAGGACTCTCTGGTCCACAGGCCAATGTTCTAACCGCTGAGCCAAACTGGTCAGGGCGAGAGGCTGTCTTAAGGTCTTACTTTTATATTTTCCGGGGAGCACACTGTCAAAGGTGAAAGTCATTGAGTTGACCTTGCCAGAGAGCTGGAGGCTGCGCTTCTCACCCTGGCGGCTCAGGGACTGCAGGGTCACCAACAGGTCGCCGCAGGTGTCTGCAGAGAAAAGACAGGAGGGCCTCATTTGACTGACCTCATGAACCACAGTACACATTCGACCCCTGTATGCCGGTAGCTGCCGTTTCTCTCCTGAAGGGCAGTGACAAGATTCCTTGAAGGTAATTTGCAGCTACTTGATTCGAAAAAGTACCTCCACGCATCAGTACCAAGCAAGGAAGCTACCAATGGGGAAAGCAATATTTATGGAGCACCAAGAGGAGCCAGAGAAAAAGAGAGAACAGTGATGCAATCTTACTTAATGCCTACTTTATACCAGGCATAGAACTGGGCCCCTTATCATAATCAAAATAGTATTAATATTACTACTAACAACAAAGATTTAAATGGCTCTCACTGTGTTCCAAGTACCTCTAAAGGTTATACATATACTAACTCATTTGATCTTTACAACAAGCCTATGAGGCAAGTACCATTATCAATTCCACATGAGAGCTAAGGCACTCAAAGCACAGAGAAGTTAAGTAATTTGCCCCAGGTCACACAGCAAAGGTTCAAGCCCAGGTAGTCTGGTTCCAGAGTCTGTGTAGTCACCGTGCTACACTGCCTCTTGATGACCACATTTAAGCTTCATTAAAACCCTCTGAAAGCAGCAGTATTCCCATTTAACAGAAGAAAAAGAGGCTGGGCAAGTAAATGCTTTGTCTCATACCTGGTAAGCGACAGAGCTGGGACTGAAACCTGGGCCTAATGCCCCCTTCCTTTCAGAGTTACAGGGGAAAAAAGGGAGCCAAGTGTTCTTTCGGGAGCCAAAGCAGAATACTCCCAGAGAAATGGTTCTGCAGCTTGCTATGGCGATTTTTCAGAAAGAACTTGATGCACTATGAACCTCCAGAACCACCGCCCAGCAGCAGCAGCTCCTGCTTTCATCTCTCATGCTGCCCCGGGAGGAAACTCTCACCAAACCCCCACCTCTACACGCCTGCTTCTTTGAAATCGTCCATTCTTACTTTCCACTGACATCTTACCCAAACAAGAGACTTTCCCAGAAACTGATGCCAAAAACTGTACAAAGGCCACGTCCATCACAGGCCTGTCCTTCACAGCGAGAGGAAACGTCTGGGGTTTCAATGTCAGCCCCGCTCTGGTCTCCGCCTCAGGAACCACCACCTGCGGGAACACAGGGCAACGTCAGCAGCTACATCAGGGGTGCTGCTCTCCTGGCCTGCAGGGCACCAGAACATTCCTCCGGGCCCAGGCTAAACAGATTTCCAAGGACATGGGTTCATATCTAGGCTGAGTTTTATAATCATAACAAATATCCAAGTAGCCTGTATAAAGACAACACATTTCTCATCAGGTATTAAAAACTCATCCTCAACAGAGCCACGGTGTGCACAGAAGTCTATCAGGCAGAACTCTCCAGGGACACACGTGCTGTCATCCATCACCTGAACACTGGGTGAGAACCACACTAACTCCCAGAACCTTTTCCTGGCTTGAGGTCACACATGACATAGCTATGAACCTGCCAACGCTGTGCGGGCACCCAATAGTGAAAGTAGGCCATTTTCTTCTTCCTTTTCTTCTACGGGCCTTTCTCAGTCTAACAAGAGGGGTTGGGAAAGAAGGCAATGATCACGCTTTTCACCCCTAGCAAAAATTACGTTTTGGAATTGCCCTTCCTTGGATAAGTCCCTAACCATGCTTCTGAAAGGGCTTCCAAAGGCTTGTCAATGAGGCCAACTTTGCAAGAAGCTGCTGTCTAGCGGAGGAGTGGTCAGCCCACACACCACACCTGATGGAAGCAGGGAGACTGCTGCTCTCCCACCCATGTCCTCGGAGGGAGGATCCAACTGCCCTAGAGGAGAGCAAGCCATAAAAGGAAGCTTCCCAGCCCTCTCCGTTCCCTCGCTGGCTTTCTCAGGGAGGAGCAGCAGCTGACTTGATGGGTGAGGGTCTGAGACCCAGTGGACACAGTCTTTCCCCACGGGCAGGGCCACTGCACTGAAAGGCACAATGGGCTGGCCTCTGGTTCTGCCGTGTCTCCTGCCTACTAGCCTCATCTGTGCTCTGGGCAGTGAGACCAAGGGCCAAAGTCCCCCCAGCCTCTCTGCCTACCTACACGGAGAAAGCAAATGGTACCTGCCCAGCATCTTCAATTCAGGACAAGGCAGGAAAAGGCCTTGGGTTCCAGAAGCCATGCTCTATGAAAGCTACTGAGCTGTCATTAATGAAGAGTTCATTTTAATTCCCTCTGGGACTCACGGATATTCTGTAGCAGCCAGAGCCTGAGCGGTGGAGGCGTGATTGGCAGCCTGATACTAACCCCTAATGAACATCACACTGGAAACGAGAAGGGCCTGGTGCGTCACTTTCAAACTGATTGCCTGTCTGCTCCACTCACAGTGACACACAGGAATGTACAGATTTCAACATAAGAAATTGGGGATGGAATGCTCCTTCTCTAACCCATTTTGGCTAATAATCACCCTTTTTTGAAAATCACTGTTTTTTTTTAAACATACCTTAAACAGAACAAAACTCATCATACCTGGATTTTGTAGGTCCCTGGTTTTGCTTTAAAACAAAATGATCCATGAGCATCCGTCTCCACAGTGACCAAAGACTTGTCCTTGTCTTGAGAAGACAGGACAACTTTGTATTTACTCATCTGCTTGACAGTGTCAGGGAAGCGAATGATTGATATCTGGCCGCAGACACTGAACCTGAAACAAGGGGACCATTCATTCCAGCATGAGAACTCAATTATAACAGGAAAGGTGCTTATCAACCAAAATTACGTGTCCACTTTCCAGCCCTTGTCCCTGAGACTAGTTTAATCTTAACAGACAGGAACATAGCCCAAATGGCTCCAGTTTTAAAGGCCACCTTCGAAGAGATTGGATCTCTTCTGAATAAGGGAAAAGGCAGAGCGGGGGCCCAATGCAGGGCTGTGTGTTCTAGATAACATCTGGCAATCCTCCATGGTAGAAGTGATTTTCAGAAAATCCGAAGATGACAGAAATTGTTTCAGGTAATTGAATCACTGACAGTGGAGCAGCCTCACACTGAGAATGCGGGCTAGTCCTTAAAAGCAAGCGCTGTAAGCTGCCTAAGAAAGTGCAGCATTACCCAGGCCATAAAACAAGGCAGAGGTATTGCCTGTGATTGCATATAATGTGTGATAAGAGGAACAATCTGGGAGATCTGAACATAACAGGTAATTAAGTTAGAAAAATGCAAAGCTAAAGTGAACTCCTTAGGAGCTAGGAGCCAGAAAAACAACGTGCAATTGACAAGCCCTATTAAGATAATGACTCAGATGGGAGACTGCATGAGCAGTGTGTAAAGTGCTCCAAGTGGATCTGGGGGCGCCCATGAACAGCACATCCATTCTCCGAGAAGGACCAACAGAAACCACCATCCTCAGGGATGGTTTTCTTTTTCCCATCAGTTGATGTGTTCAAGTACAATAATGTACCACAACCGAAGACCACAATGGCTTCCTCAATAGACTAAAAGGTTAAATTTTCTAATCTTAAAGAATCATTTTAGATGAAAATCAGTGGTCTAGTCTGACAGAAGGATAATAAAATGTTGGATTCCACGTTGGATAATTATGAGTATAATGAATGACGGCACACCCACTGTGCTGAAAATAAGGAACAGAGTGATGAAATATTGTGTATGTAAAATCTGGGAATGACAAAAAGCAGTTATTTCTTAGTGACTGGCCGGCCATATGAGCTCACAGTCGAGTGTGGGGGCCAAAAACTACAGCCCACTGGCAAGTCTGACCCACTGGCCACCTCTTTTTGCTTGGACCTGAGCTGAGGATAGTTTTTACTCTCATTGTCACATGTTTATAGGGTGGGGGGGGGGGGTGGGATCAAAAGAAGAATATTTTGATACACATGAAAATTATATAAAATTCAAACTTCAGTGTCCTAAATAAAGTTTTATTGGAACACAGCCACCCCTATTCATTTAGGTATTATCTATGGCATGTTTCATCACAGAGACCGTAAGACCCACAAAGCATCAAATATTTATTCTCTGGCTTTTTACAGAAAAAGTGTGCAAGCCCCTGATGTAGATCAAAAGGCATGCACTTTGGTTCTCATATTCCCCTACTGTGTACTTTCAGAATAAAAGGCAAAGAGAATATTGATAAATTATTCTTTAGAACTTTTCATGTTCTCCTGATTCATGTCCATGTCAAGGGGAATATCACCTTATTTGTTCCAGGTTGAATCTCTTTGCCTCTCTAAGTTTTAAATACTTTAAGCATAAGATCTGTTTTAGCTCATATTCCCACTTAAAAAGAACTGTCCTTAATATATGTCAACTGTAACTGAAAAATTAAATGTAAACAAAAAAGAGAAGTGTCCAGTTACCCTAAACCTGAAATGTATATTGGTTTAGCTTAGAAAAAATAAACTACAAAATAACTTGTAGCAGAATGTTTGTTATATTGAAGCCTCTAAAAATTTATTTTTGTCAATAAACTCTTACATCAGGGCTTAATAATTTATGAATAGAAACTGGTAATTTTGGTGCAGTGTGAAATAACTATATCTCATAGTCATTAGGACAGAAGTCAAAGAGTTTGTTTTACAAATACATTAAGATTTTTTTAAAAGGAACAAACAGCAATGAATTAAAAGGCAAATGTGCTACATCGGCTCAAAAGGAAAATGATGAATTTTTCTGAAGATGCTCAACAAATGTTTTTCTTTCTTTGAAAATATTCCACTTTAAAGAAAATAAATCTAGTTCCCCATCTCCATGAACAGCATTTCCTCCATTTACCCAACTGTTCCAATAAGGGACTGACGGCACAAGACATGCTCATTCTCCATACTACCTGTCAAATCTGTACTTCTTACTCCCTCCCTTGCCAGCACCTTGGTCCCAGCCTCCATCATATCTGCCCCGGACAACTGTCACCACCTCCTATCTAGTCCCTCTATTATATACTCTGGCTTCCCTCTGATCCATGCTGCACACAGCAGCCAGAAAGAAAAAAAAAATGTTCTAAATGACCTGATCCGTATCATTCCATTGCATGTATGGCCAAGCCCACCCCAAGATGGCTACGAGGTCACAGAGTTCTCCTACCTCATCAACTGCCTCCAGCTCACTGGCCGTCTTCCCCAGGGCTCCCTTCTCTCCCCTCCAGGCCTGGGCCCATGCTGTTCTCTCTGCTGGGAAGTTCCTCACCTAGCTAACCTGCAGTCCTCCAGAAGGTCCCAGCGACCCAGAGAAGCCTTCCACAGCTCCCACTTGTAAATCAAGTCCTCGCACAGCACCCGGTCTCCTCCCTGCACAATTCCTACCACAATTTACGGTCACAAATGCACTCGTCTGGAGTCTGTCTCCCCAGTAAGATGAAAGCCCTGTCTGTGGAATGTCAGGTTTCTTCCCACTGTTATGTACCTTGCACTTATAACAGTGCCTCACCCAGAGGACCTGTTCAAAAATGTTTATGAAGGGCCCCGGCTGGTGTTGCTCAGTGGTTAGAGTGTCAGCCTGCGCACCAAAGGGTTGTGGGTTCGATTCTGGTCAAGGGCACATACCTGGGCTGCAGGTTCATCCCTGGCCACAGTCGGGGGGATGTGGAAGGCAACCAATCAATGTGTCTCTCACATCAATGTTTCTCTCTCTCTCGCTCTCCTCCCCCCACTTCTACTCTCTAAAACACCATGGAAAAAATATCCTCAGGTGAGGATTAACATAAAAAAAAATGTTTATGAAGGAAAAGAGGGAGGATTTAAGTTCAAGAATCGTTTTTTGAAGCTCCACAACAGAAACATGATACCAGGTTCCCAGGTGATGTGCATCCTTATTCCCCACTCGACACTGAACCCCAACCTTGACCTTCCACCTATCTACAGAAAATGGTCCCTGTAGCCACCTCAGTGATTAAGCGAATGGACTGTTTTCATGGCTCAGCTCCCTGCATCTCCCTGTCTGTCAGGCACTACTTCATACCTGCAACCCACCAACGCAGGCTCTCCTGAGGCCAGCCCTCAAACACTGGCATTTCATTTTTGGTCTACTGCTTTCCCAGTTCCACTTCTGGCTGCCACCTGCAGCCAAATCTCCAGGATCTACAATCCATCTGAGCATCTATTGAAGAGTTCCACCTAGTGGTCGTGGTCCACAGACCCCCAAACTGAACCCTTATCATCTAACTGGCTCTTCTCCCTGCACACAGCCGGTGGCACCACAGTCATCCTGACCCTCAAAATGGGAACCTCTAAATAGTTTCCCACTCTGTTCTTGACTTCCCTATAAGGCAAGCCCTCACCGATTCTGATTCCAGGCCTTTTGTCCCCAAGACTTACCTCCTTCAAAGCCATCCTCCACCATGCCATCAGAGTGTCTCACTGAATCCAAAAGCCTACCCATGTGCCCTCCATGCTCACGCTGCTCACTGGCCCCTCGCCCGCTAGTGGAGAAAGCCCCCATCTTCCAGTAGGGTGTGAAGAGGCCTGCCCCTCCTTTGCCTGCCCAGCACTTCGAATGCCAGCAACACCAAGCTCTACGTCGCCATCTACGCCTGCTGCTCAGAAACTGCACGCTGTTGTTCACTCTCTCCAACCAGGCTCTGCCCCTCTCCTCTGAAGTTATTGTTTATTGAGAACCTACTGCTGTCTCAAGAAAGCCGGCAGCATCCCCACTCCAGAGGTTACACAAGGTAAGAGGAAGATCTAAGATCTGACTCCAAGGCCTGGGTTCTCTGCTCCACACATTATCACTACCTGATAAAACTACACGAATTCAACCATAGGATGTCCCCTCAGACAATAAGTACAACAAAGCAGGAAGAACCATGAGAATGGCTCAAAGCATCTTACAATAAACTTTCTCAGCTTACTGTAACATCTTTCAAAGTCCTCACAAATAAGGCCAAGGAAGTCCCCAGAGATGTGAAGTCAGACACGCAAGATCCTTTTCTAACTTAAATGCATATGAACTTTGTATATGTGCTGCCGAAGCGAGCACAAGTGCGTATGAACTTTGAAGCCAACTCATTTTCTTTAAGCATCCAACATATAAGTACCTTCAGATGATGAGTTAGCACTAGTCTTTCTAAAGAAGCCAGCCTGAATTTCTCCACTAGGTGTCTGAGGCTGCAGGTGGATCCTTGGCAGACACCCAGTCAGAATGAAGGGACCTTGTTTTCCGCGGGCTACTGACGTAGCACTGGGCTTCCAGACCCAGACACAATCACCTTACCCTGTGGCAATGATGTCAGCCAGCTGAGGTGTGTTAGGTGCAATTTTGATTGTGACTGTTTCAAAGTACAGGTGCTCTTTCTGCACATGGATGGTGTATGTGCCAGTCGTGATGTTCTCCAGGCGGAATGAGCCATCAGCTTTTGTTTTCACTGTAAAACAGAAATGCGCCAACAAAAGATGAGCCAAAACAGAACTGCAAAGCCCTCCATATTCACAAGAAGATGAGAGACAACAAGCTGGCATATTTTCAGAGTCATTAAGCTTTTGTTTCCTTTCCATTTGTCTCTGGGATCAAAAACCAGCACTGGCACATGGCCCCAGGGGCCGGCGTGTCTGCCCACCTTTGATTTGGTTATTCAGAGTGACTACTGCCTCCGGAACACCTTCTCCTTCGGGCCCATTCAGGACCCTCCCAGTGACAGAGAATCCCATGACGTGGAACACGGGCTAGAAGACAAAGAACAAGAAGAATGTTCTATGCTTGAGCTGCAATAGTCTCCCTGATGCCACTCATGCCACCATTCTCACCACCGCTCAGCACATCCGCCCACAGACTTCTCCCAGTCCTGTGCCAGCCATGCTCCTTCTCAACGTACCCACACACACTGCTCCCCAAGGCAGCACATTCCCCGAGCCTGTCTTCTTTCTTGTGTTCCCAACACACTGAAATATGTCAAATAATTGAAAACAAAAAAAAGATCTATAGACTTACTTCCCCAGTTAAAGATCACCAAGCCAGACTGGTGAGCGCTCCCTGCCCTTCCTGCCTCCTCCCCTCCAGACGCCCTCACTTTGCTGTCCTCCAATCTGCCACACTTAAACCCAGCACAGCCTTGGGTGCCCCTCCCCACTCATCAACATCAATCAGTCCTGTAGCCCTGGCCAGTTTGGCTAAGCAGTTAGAGCATCGGCCTGCGGTCCGGAGAGACCCAGGTTTGGTTCCCACTAGGGGCACGTGCCTCGGTTGCAGTTTGTCCCCGGCCCTGTTGGGGTCGTGTGGGTGGCAGCCACTCGGTGTGTCTCTCTCTCCCCCTTCCTGTCTCCTTCCTGCTCTGTCTGAGGATAAATGCAAAAAAAATGGCCCTGGTCGTTTGGCTCAGCGGTTAGAGCGTCAGCCTGCGGTCCTGAGAGACCTGGGTTCGGTTCCCGCTAAGGGCACGTACCTCGGTTGCAGTTTGTCCCCGGCCCTGGTCGGTCATGCAGGAGGCAGCCACTCGATGTGTTCCTTTCACGTCGATGTTTCTCTCTCTCTCTCTGTTCCTCTCTCTCCCTCCCACTCTACCTGGACAAAAAATGGAAAAATGTCCTTGGGTGAGGATAAAAAAATAATAATAATAAAAAAAAAAATGTCCTTAGGTGAGGATAAAAAAATAAAAAATCAGTCCTATGGATTTCACCTCAGCAAGGTCTCTCAGGCCCTTCTCCTGTCTCTTCCCACTGCAACCTGAATTCAAGTCCTTATGAACTGCACCTGGACCACCTCCCTCAACCCAAGCGGGTGCACTGACTAGTGTCCTATACTGGGTTTATATGTGTCTGCCTGCCTTCACGTGAGTGCCACGGCTTTGCTTTGTCTGCAGTCACTACGTTCCAGCCACCCTGATCCTTGGTTCCTCAAGCTGACCACATGGGTGCACCACACGCATTCCTCACATGGGGCTTCTGCATCAGCTGCCCCTCAGCCTGGATCTTCTCCCCACCTGGAGAAGATCTGGCAGGAGGCCACTCCTTGTCATCATTCAGGTTTCAGTGCAAACTGCCACCACCTCCCAGAAGCTTCCCCTGACTACCCTATCTCAGCAGTCCTTGCCTCCCACCCCAGCCACTGTCCATCACACTAACCTATTTTATTAGCTTCATCAAAGAAATGACCAATACCTGCAATGTCCTTGCTTGATTTATTATCATTGTCTACCTCCCATTAGAATGTATGGTCCATGAAGATGGGGACCTTTTCTGTCTTAATCACTTGGTACATAGCAGGCACTCAATAAACAACTCCTGAATGAATGAATGGATGCATATATGCCACAGCATGTGAGAGACCTTGAAGAAAAAAAATGGCTTCCTTTTTATTCAGGTAGCCTTTCTTGATCCTTCTAAAAAGATGTGGTTTATCCACTTATTAATCCATATATCCACTTAACAAATACTTTTATTAGGTACCTACAATGTGCCAGGCTCTGAATCACATGTTAGGAATACAGTGAAGAGTAAGACTGACCTACCTCATGCAGCTTACAGGCCCTCAGGCTCCTGAGCGTCCCTTCTTCTCTGTTCAAACACTTGTATTTACGACCATGGTCTGGAATGTCTTTCCCCGCTCACCTGCTCCCACTCTTCCCCGCACACCCCTGCAGCGCGAGGATCATCTTCTCGCCTCTCACAGCTCCAGGGCACAGCGAACTGTCAAATGTCTTACTGAACCTCACAAAGCAGAGTCAGAACCCCACTGAGCATGTCACCTAAACGCCGGCGCCTACCAGTTTGAGCTACTTTAATGCAGCATTTTCAAATGTGACATTAAAAGAAAACAATTAAAATCTAATGTTTTCAATAACTATAACACTGGGTGGTCTGTTTAGGAAAGACTGTTATTTTCTTTTGGGATTTGCTCTATCTAGCTAATTTGCTACAGTAACCATTTTCAAATTCTGTAATTAAAGATGCAAGTGTGATGAAAAACACATTTACCGTGTACTTTAGTCTAGGGAGTTGATCAGGCTGCCCACCATCCCCTCCATTCCTATCACCACGGCCCAAGCTCTGTCAGCTCTCACTGGTTTACTGCCACAGCCTCCTAACTGGTCCTTCACTTCCACCCTGCCCCCGGGAACTCTTCTCAGTGTGGTAGCCACAGGGATCATGCCTCTCCTCTGCTCGGAACCTCATCCAGAGGGGGGTCAATTGTCACCCAGAGTAGCCCACTAGGCCCTGCACAATCGTCCCCATCATCTCTGTCCCTCTCTCCTCTTCCTCACTCCCTCCATTCCAGCCACCCTGGCCTGTTGGGGTCCTCCAAACTCTAGGCCTCAGAACCTTAGCACCTGCCATTCCCTCTGTCTTATGACACCCTCCCCAAAGATCTAAGTACAATTCATTGCCCCTCCCCTTCAGGGTGTGGCTCAAATGTCACCTTCACAGTGAGGACTCCCGGAGAACAGCCTATAAGACTACAACTCGTCTCAACCTTGAGACTACGTAATCTTCTTTCATGTTTTATTTTTTTAGACACCACTTATCACCTTCTGATATACTTTCTAATTTACTTATTTACAAGTGTATTCTTTTTCTGACAAGAGAATATGAATTCCACAAAACAGGAATGGTTGCCTCTTTTTGGTCACTGCTGTAAACCCAGCCTTAAAACAGTACCTGAAACGTATGTCACTGTCACTCAATAAACATATTTCCCTGAATGAAGTAGAAATAACTAGGGCTCCAATTCTCTAAGATAAAGACCTGTAGTAAAAGGACTGAAGTATCTAGTGAATCCAGGCTACACTGGGGAGTACAAGATTCTGGTTTTTCAAACTGTCCATCTAAATAAAATACTTATTTTTTTCTTAAACTTGTCTGCAACACCTGAGCCCAGGGATGGGCACTCTAACACCTGTCCCTCCAGGAGACAGGGAGTTCTCACCTCAATTTTTAGGCTGTCGTGTTCCACTGTAAAGTCGAGTCTAGAAGGAGCAACGTCAAAGGTAATCCTCTCCCCTCTATAGAATGGAATCTGGAAGGAAGAGTCTATTAATTACTAACAGCCAATAACATGATTCAACCATCAATATTAATAATTGACCCAGCAGCCCACAAGGGACAAGTGGTTCAAGGCAGGCCAAGAGAAACTATTATTCTGTTGCTGATTTAAAAAAAGAAAGGCCTGCATTTTTGCAGCTATTACAAAGGGGTCAGAGTCCTATCCTAAGTAACTGCTAAATAAAATGTTCACAAAAACCACAGGCCAACCATTTAGTCCTTAACACCCAAATGGCATTGACTCTTACTGCATCATAAGAGTCCAAACATAAACAGAATGAAAATTGCTTCACTCACCACAGTATAGCCCCCACTTGGCAAGGAATAGAAGGAGAACGAGCCATCTTCTTTAGAGACTGCATAGCACAAATACACCAGACTCTTGTCTGGGGGCTGGAAGCCGGGCACTGGTGAAATGTTGCAGCCCAGGACATCCTAGGTCAGGAACAATAAAACATAACTTCCTTTTCCACTTACATGTTCTGATTATCATCAAATAGCCACACTGCAGAAAAACTTTTGTAAGTTTTATGTCACAAAATATGTTTCTGAAATCTAGGACTTAGGAGAGATAAAAGAAACAGAAATCTTTACATTCAAACAAAAAATGGCACAGTTTTCTTGGAACAACAGACATGAATGCCCATTCCTATAATGGGTCACCATTCTCCAAATAAGAAAACAGAGCTCAGGTCCAGCTGGTGTGGTTCAGTGGTTGAGCATCAACCTATGCACCAAGAGGTCATTGGTTCGATTCCCAGTCAGGGCACATGCCCAGGTTGTGGGCCAAATCCCCAATGGGGGGCATGCAGGAAGCAGCCAATGGATGTTCTCTCTCATCGATGTTTCTATCTCTCTCTCCCTCTCCCTTCCTCTCTCTCTAAAATAAACAAAGAAAACCTATTTTTAAAAAAAAGAAAAGAAAATGGAGCTCCGGAAGGAAAGAGACTGGCCCAGAGTCACACAGCAGAAAGAGCAGAGCTGGGATGTGTCTGAAATGGATCTGATTGATGTCCAAACTTGTGCACTTTACACCAAACTCCACCACCTCTCAGTGTACACATTCAGTTTCTTGTAAGTCAACTGAGAAACACAATGTTCTTAAATGCTGAGACTATAAATCAAGCTTGACTGTGTTTTAAACAGTATAGCCCATCTCTTTTGTTTTTCACTTTCTTCTGCTTACCTCTTTGGTTACTGAAGAAGAAAAAAGAAGAAACTTCACCCCTTTCATGGGCTCCCCGTCACTGCGGACAGAGCCAGACACATTGTAGCCAGCCACTATCAGGGGACTGGCAGCGTTGGCATTGGAGTTGGTCACTCGCACAGTGGTACTTGCCTACAAAAGAAGATTTTAACTTCCAAACAAAGAAACAGCATATATACATTTAAAAAGCGCATTTGGGGGGCAGCCAATCAATGTTTTCCTCTCACATTGATGTTTCTCTCTCTAAAATCAATTTTTTTTAGAAAAGTCATAGCCCAGCCAGTGTGGCTCAGTAGTTGAGCGTCGACCTATGCATGAAGAGGTCACCAGTTTGATTCCCAGTCAGGGCACATGCCCAGATTATGGGCCTGATCCCCAGTGGGATGCATACAGGAGGTGGCCAATCGATGTTCTCTCTCATTGATGTTTCTCTCTCTCTCTCTCCCTCTCATTTCCTCTCTCTGTAAAATCAATAAAGGAAAAAAATTTTTTTAAAAAGTCACAAAGTGTTTAAGAACATGGGAGCCCTGGCGGGTTTGGCTCAGCAGTTAGAGCATTGGCCCACAGTTCAAAAGAGTCAAGGGTTCGCCCTGGCCGGTTTGGCTCAGCGGTTAGAGCGTCGGCCTGCGGTCCTGAGAGACCTGGGTTCGGTTCCCACTAAGGGCATGTACCTCGGTTGCAGTTTGTCCCCGGCCCTGGTCGGTTGTGCGGGTGGCAGCCACTCGATGTGTCCCTTTCACATCGATGTTTCTCTCTCTCTCTCTGTTCCTCTCTCTCCCCCGCCCACTCTACCTGAACAAAAAATGGAAAAATGTCCTCCGGTGAGGATAAAAAAAAAAAAAAGTCAAGGGTATATACCTTTATTTTGGTTCAGTCCTGGTTGGGATCGTGCAGAAGGCAACCAATTGACATGTCTCTCTCACATCGAAGTTTCTCTCTTCCTCCCTCCCTCCCTCCCTCCCTCCCTCCCTCTCTACCTGAAAATTAATGGAAAAATATCCTCAGGTGAGGATTTAAAAAAAGAACATGGGAAAATGCTACAAAACTAACTAGAAAAAAGGTAATATGTAAAATTGTATATGTAGTATGATCACTAATTTTTCATGTGCAACATGAAGTTAAAAGGAAATGTGGCAAAATGTAGATAATAATTTCATCTATATGGTGACATTTTACTTCATTTACACTTTTCTACCTTTCCAATTTTCTGTTTCCACTCCTTTATCCTGTATATTTCAATTCTTTTTAAATAAACATGCCTTACTTTTTTTCTCTGTTTAATAAATGGTATATATGCATATATTTTTTAAACTATAGTACAATTTATGTGGAGAAAAGTACACAAATTCTAAGTGTCCAGGATAGTGATTTTCACAAACTGAACACATCATTCAAACAGTGACGAAAACAGAACAGAACCAGCCCCCACAAAGTCCCACTCATGCTCATTTCCAGTCACTACTTCCTGCAAGGGACAACCATAATCCTGACTTTTAACAGCACACTCTACTTTGAAACACAATTTTATATTAATAAACTCAAATTCCTTTTTGCATACAATTAACAATGTAAGCCTTAAAATGTATTCTATTTATAATGTATAAGCCACTGGCTTTTAAATAAAACATTTTTACAATCCTGAAAATCTAAAGTCATAAACAGCATACAAATACATCTAGGCTAAAACCATACCATCAATTATAACTGCATAAAAGCTACAGAGTAAAAACTGAAATACTGATTCTGATGCTTCTTGAGCAAGAATGAAACAGTCTCAAAACTAATATAAAAGCTAACATGTCAAAATGTCCCTTAAGTCTTATTTCAATTTGTTTTTCCAGTTATTATAAAACCTTACCTAGTATGTTTCTTCTTTTTTTGATTGATTATAAACTATTTCAAACAAAATGCTATAAGAAATACTCTGGCCCTGGCTGGTTTGGCTCATTGGTTGAGCGTCGGCCTGTGGTCCAGAGAGACCTGGATTCGGTTCCCGCTAAGGGCACGTATCTCGGTTGCAATTTGTCCCTGGCCCTGGATGAGTCATGTGGGTGGCAGCCACTCGATGTGAACCTTTCACATCGATGTTTCTCTATCTCTCTCTCTTCCTCTCTCTCCCTCCCACTCTATCTGAACAAAAAATGAAAAAATGTCCTCGGGTGAGGATGAAAAAAAGAAATACTCTGAAGAACACCCAAACACACTCCAACCAGCTAAAGAAATAAGAGTAAAAATATAATTCAAGACCCTTGCAAGACCCTTCCTCCTCCCTCTACAGATCTCAGGATCTTAATCAACCCGACGTTTGCCATTCCCACCCACATCTCTGCAATTTTTCTACATATGAATACATCCCTAACTGGTATTATCATGAATGTTTTTAGTTACTATATAAAGAGTATCATATTTCCTTATCCTTTAGCAACTGGCCTTTTTCCTTCATCTTATCTTTTTAAATGCAGTGGTATCGAGTAGCTCTGGTGCGTTCATTATGGCTGATGTACAGAATGCGATTGTGTGATGAAACCACAATCCAACCCTCTTAACGAACGTTTAGGGTATTTACAATATTTTGCTATTGCAAACAAAGCTGCAATAAACATTCTTCTACATTCTCCTTGGGCACATGTACAACAGTTTCTAGAATGTTAAATATATTTACAGAATGTTGTTTTTAACTGAAAAAAGCACAACAAAAAAAAAATCTCATCAGGTTCTTCTGGTGTTGATTTAGCTTAAAATAGCTATAGTAAATAACAAGCCTATTTCACAGCAGGAAGACAGTATTTTCACCTAAAACTGAAACCAACACAAGCAACATCTGCTATAGTGAGGAAGTTTTACCTTATAAATACCGCCAACCTCATAGCAGCACCACTGTTTTTTCATCTACTTCTAGAAAAACCATTAACTCGTTTCAGACCCTGAACTGAAAACCTCTGCATCTGTCCCCAAACCCGCACATTGTTGCCACACTAAAGACATAACGGAAATGCTTACCTCTTTCAATGCCCAGGTTGGATGAGTTGCAAGGATTTCATAATCTCCAGGAAGAACTTTAAAAAATGCAAACCTAAGGAATCCAAAAATACCACTTAACTTACTCCCAAACAACCTGAATAGTTCTAATTGCATGACTAATATTGAGAAACACAGAAAATAGTGTTTTGAATTATTACAAATTTGCCATTAGCTAGTTAATTAGCATAAACAAAATTTTACCCTTCACTGTGCACAATAGAAGCCAATGAAGATCACTCAGGTAGCTACAGACTAACCAAGACCAGAGTGACATGAACCAGGTTGGAAATGGACGGATTCCATTTAACCCCTTAAATCTGCAAGGCACCAGACAATTAGAGGGCTAGTCCTAATGAAATGAACTAGAAAAGCGTTCAATTTCTTCTTCTGTGGTGGTATTTTATTAAATCAAGTGTTGCCTGTAATAACTAAATAGGGTTTAGTAATCATTTTGCTACAATAAACTTGAAGCTGCCACTGGATTTTGGTTTTAGTAAGATGCAGCCTATATTTCATGTTCATGGTATTCCTGTTCTACAAGTTACCATCTTTGTTTAGTGCAGATGAAAGAGATTCAGAAAGGTCATTTTCCCCAGCAAGGTCAACAGCAAACTACCAGCCTAGAGAAAATGAAAACTTCACATTCCTTTTATAGACCAGGGCTGGAGAGGTATCAATCAAATAGAAGTAAATGTCATTTCAAAAATAATTTCAATAATTATCATTTAAAAATGAAATGACTTACTGACAGACTCATTATAAACTTCAATTTGGCAGCTTAATCAATTTTGTATATTAAAGTAGTAATGATCTGAATGCTCTCACAATTATCAGCTAGAACTATTCTAGGATTAATCTTGGCACATCTGTTAGCATTTACAACTCAATGAAATATATCCATTAAATAAATGCTTTAGAATTGGCTCAACAAGGTTAATTAAGTAGTCACCAGTTCTAACTACAAAACAATTTTGATGTACTAGGGATAAAATGATTTGTAAAAATCATAATTGAGCTAACAGTTATTAAGCACATAAGTCATGACAGAGAGCTTGAAACACTAATAATATATAATTTAATCTTCCAAATATCCTTAGGAGGTAATTTCCTGATTATTATCATTCATAAATGAGGAAATGGAGGCCCTGAGGCATTAAGTAACTTGTTGGAGGTCAAACGGCTAGTAAATGGGGAAGCCAGGATTCAAAGCCAGGCTGTTGGGCTCCAGAGCCAGTGGCAATCATTAAATGAAGGCCTACTAAGTGTCAGGCCCTGCAGTAGGTGCTTGATGGGTACTCTTTCATATTTAGTAATCCCATCAATGCTAAATGCAATGGGTCACATGACTTCCATTTTACAGATGAGGAATCTGAGGCCCTGAGGGACATGAACTTGTCCAAAGTGGTCTCCCTAAATCCAAAGCTTCCCCAAACCTCAACAGAGCCCTGCTCTAGCTACAAGGCAGGACAACACAAGCACAACTCACTTTCCACCAGGCTGTGTAACCGTGGACTGGATCTTCGCTTCGGTCCCCGTGTTTCTCAGAGACACCTGAACTCCGGCAGGACCCAGGGGCTGCCCTTTGCTGAGAACCTGCCATAGAGAAGGAGGTTGAACACGGCCCAGCAGCAGAGTGCTCCTCTCAACAGATCCTGCACCTAACTCCCTATATGGGACCAATAACCTTCTTTGGGTGAAAACTCCTTTGAAAAGGTGATGGTGATCATGGATACCTTTTCTGAGGAGGGGGGAGGGGCTGCGAGAGGGGACAGTAACAGTATAATATCTTGTTTCTTTGAATTGAAGACACCATCAGTTAAAGATGCACAATTATTTTACGAAGTTTGGAGAGTAGAGATGATCCTCATCTCCAACAGGAAACCCACACATGAAGACGGAACTAGAGGGCCTCACTCCCAGTGTAAAGGTAAAGAAGCAGACCTGTCGTGCAGAAAACGACAGCAAGGAAACGTGCACCTCAACGTAGGGGGAAACAAATTCTCCCCTGAGAATCTCTCCCTATTAAAGGCCACCCCTGGCACTTAACAGCTGCTAACAACCTCTACTCTTCCAGGGTAGGAGAAGATCTGACCCCGAAAAACACCCACAATATTTTATACATTTTATCAAGTTCCCAGATCTTCTTGAAGCTTAACTATGGGTCCCTTGTGTGATCAAAGTCCCCAAGTTAAAAAGCCCTGCTTTCTTAAAGGTAAGAGAAGACTCAGTGTATACTACAGAGCAAACGTTAAAAATAACGAAGTTCTGAAACCAAACCTTTCCATTCACAGAGAAGCCTGTGAACACAAAGTTGATGTCCCCGCCCTTCGTGCAGATGTCACTGACGCCATCCACGTAGAGCTCCACGTTTGTTGGCTCTGAGGGATGAAGATGGGAACGGGGTAAAGACACAAGGGATAAGATAAAACTGTCTAGACAAAATATATTTTATTGGTTAACTTTCATTTCATTTATTTTTGAGCACTTAATATAGTCACATAGCTCGAAATCCAAGGGTACGGAAGGTAGGCAGGGAAAATCTCTCCCCGACCCTTAATCCTTGGACACTCAGTTTCCTGTCCCAGAGAGAACCAGTGTTCAGAGCATAACATACTCTTGTAACAGTCTTTCAGCTAAACTGTATCTCAGAGGCCCACGGAAAATTCATGAGCACCAAATAGCTTTATTCACTGAATGTTACCATAGGCCAGGCATTGAGCTAAGAGCATTTAATCCTTACAACCACCTTAAGAGGTAGACAGTAACATTTACAATAGATTGAGGGGCAAACTGAGGCACATAAAAGTTAATGGCTCTCTCAAAATCACAGTCTTTTGAGTTACAGGACCCCAATTCAAGCCCCAAAAATTTGGCTCTGATTCTGGACCTGACCAAGTACATGGGTTTGGCCATATTAAACCAGGGCCATAAACTCCAATACCCCCAGGAAACAAATGGGTAAGAAGTAAGACAGGCCAAGTGGGGACTGTGATGGATGGAAAAGGGGAAGTCACTGCTCAACTTCCATCCACTGCAGCCATGTGGCCCAGGGTTGCCAGAGCATCCAACTTCTCAAGAAAAACTAGAAAGCAAAATTATAGGTGCCACCTCCTTACTCTTCAATATTCATAACTAATTCAATTTTTTTAATGGAGTTGAGGTTTTAAAAGGTTAGGAGGAATGTGGAGTGATAAGTAGAGAGAAAAATGGGAAAATCAAAAGAATTTCAGGTAAAACAAAAAATTACTCACACAAACATGCGGGCAAACACACCTGTAAAAAATGGACAGAAGCCCTGGCCAGTTTGGCTCAGTGGTTAGAGCGTCAGCCCACGGACCAATGAGTCACAGGTTCGGTTCCGGTCAAGGGCACGTACCTCAGTTGTGGTTCATCCCTGGCCTTGGTCGGATCGTGTGGGAGGCAACCAGTTGATGTATCTCTCTCACGTTGTTTCTCTCTCTCTCTCTTTCTCTCTCTCCCTCCCTCCCACTCTAACTGAAAATAAATACAAATATATCCTCGGGTGAGGATTTAAAAAAAAAAATGAACAGAAGAACCCTAGCCAGTCAGACTCAGCAGTTGGAGTCTCAGTAACGAACCAAAAGGTCTTGGGTTTGAATCCCAGTCAAAGGCGTGTGCCTGGATAGCAGGTTTGATTCCTGGCCCCAGTTGGGATCGTTTGGGAGGCAACCAATCAATGTGTCTCTCTCATATCAATGTTTCTCTCTCTCTCTCTCTCTCTCTCTCTCTCCCCCTCCCTTCCACTCTATCTAAAAAAAAATCAGTGGAAAAATATCCTTGGTGAGGATTAACAACAAAAAGAGAGAAGTAGATCTGGGACTTTTATGTCAAATCTCACAATGTTTAATGTTACAATTAACTAAGAAAAGAAAAGAAGAGAAGAGAAAAGAAGAGAAAAGAAAAGAAAAGAAAAGAAGAAAAGAAGAGAAGAGAAAAGAGAAATAGTAACAGTGAGGGAGCTAAGAAAGAAGCCATGCTGAGACAGGAACAAAGCCCCCATTCCTAACCTCTATATGTAATTCTACTGCCACTTAATGAATGAAACTGCAACAGCAGAGTTTCCTGAGAAAGGGACTAGAAAAAAATGTCTATTTTAAGGAAAATGACCAAAAAAAGCCTCAAGGTAGATCTAAGGTAAATCCAATCTTCTCTAAAATGACAAGGCAAGGAACTCTCTTCTACACTAGAAATCAATCCTCAATATTTTTGCAGTTTATGTACCTTGTCAATTTAAATTAATAGTCAGCATATGATCTAATCATCTACAGAGTATTCTGGTCATTCATTTAACTTACCAAAACTCCACCCTAGGGGAGGCTCAATCTTCAGAATAAAATCTCCCTAAGAGCAGGAGGAAAAAAAGTAAAGGATTGAGAACCGATGACCCTTCAACTAGCTTAACTTTGTTTAGTACTATCCTTTAATCTAGAATTCTCACACCGGAAATGAAATTCTAAGCATAAGCTAAAGCTTTTCACCAGAAGTTCCCATTTAACCAATCAGAACATAGCATGTTAAAGCCCAAGGGAGAATCCTAAAGATACTATATTCAGCCACTCTTTGTTTTTTGATACCAAACATACTATTAATGAATCTCCTATTAACCCTATATATGCCTAAGGTTGCTAGGGTCAGCACATATCTTCACTAAATTCCTTTCTTAAAACTAGATTTTACTCATACACCCTGGTTTCTTGAGATTGTTTTAATAATAAAAATAATAATAATAATGAAATAAGTAAAAAAAAAAGATTTCAAGACCCAGCTAGTCTACGTCTAGAAATCAATCTTATGGCCCTGGCCGGTTTGGCTTAGCGGTTAGAGCGTCGGCCTGCGGTCCGGAGAGACCCGGGTTCGGTTCCCGCTAAGGGCACGTACTTCGGTTGCAGTTTGTCCCCGGCCCTGGTTGGTCGTGCGGGTGGCAGCCACTCGATGTGTCCCTTCACGTCGATGTTTCTCTCTCTCTCTCTCTCTTCCTCTCTCTCCCTCCCACTCTATCTGTACAAAAAATGGAAAAATATCCTCGGGTGAGGATTAAAAAAAGAAAGAAATCAATCTTATGTATAGGGTGGGGCAAAAGAAGGCTTACAGTTGTTTGTATGGAAAATAATACAATAGTTAATAAATCGTAATAGAACAATAATCTCTGGCCCTGGCCAGTTTTCTCAGTGGTTAGAACACCAGCCCACAGACTGAAGTGTCTCCAGTTGGATTCCGGGTCAAGGGCACATGCCTGTGTTGCAGGTTCAATCCCCAGCCTTGGTCAGGGTCGTTCAGGAGGCAACCAATAGATGTGTCTCTCTCACACTGATGTTTCTTGATGTTTCTCCCCACCGACTCTGTCTGAAAATCAATGGAAAAATATCCTCGGGTGAGGATTAACAAAAATAAATAAATAAACTTTTTGTTTCACATATTCACAACTATAAACCCACGTTGCCCCCACCCTATATTGTGCATAAAGATATAAGTTCAAGAATATGTATTGCGGATGGGGGGTCTGGAGGAGGGTGTCTGGGGGGGAAAAGAAGAAATATTTGTAACAAAATTAATTAGTTAATTAAAAAAAGGGTATGTATTGCTATGCTGTATTAATAATTTTTAAAATTGCAAAAAGTCTCTATCAATAGAGAAGTGGTGAAATAAATTACTGCTGTGGTCTGACTCTGACATGCTATGCAGCCATTAAGAACAAGGCAGCAAATCAATATATGCTGACGTTGAAAGGTGCCAAGATATTTACTATTGGGAAAAAAAGCAAATCACACAGTAATTCCTATTATTTGATTCCATTTGCATTTTTTAAAATCAAAATCAAAACTGTATATCGACTATTTTTGCCACTTCCTGTGAATCTTTATTTCCTAATAAAAAGTTGGGATGGGGGAAGATGGTTGGAGGGGCTAGAAGTACGAATATGCACAGAAGCCCATCTAGGAGCACATGTGTTTGTGTATGTCTACTTATATGCACTTGCATGTGTATTCATGGATATCTGCATAACTGTAAATACAGAAAAAGCAGTCTGTTAGGATACACACCAAAACCTTTATCAAAGGTTATCACTACACAAGGAGAGGCATCTGGGGGATAAAAAATAAAATGTATTTCATATACTTCTAAAGACCTTGATTTCTTTTTTACAAAGCTCATAAATTCACATATTACTTGCATAATTTTTTTTAAACAACATTTTAAGCTGCTTGCAAAGAAAGGGTTCTATTAAATCAGGAATTTTCAGCCCTGACACTGCTGACATTTGTCTGTCCTGTGCAGCGTGATGGGACATTGATCTTCCTTCCTGGCCTCTAACTCACTAGAAAACTAGAGCACTCCCCCTCCCCTACAGTGTAACAACCCCAAATGTCTCTGAAGACTTTGGGAAACACTATATTCAATCAAACTAATCCATACGCTATCTCCTCCAGAATTTGGCCAGAATAATCACATTCCACTTATAACTGACAAAACAGATGAACATGTGCTCTTACAGGAAAGGCCATTCTCCTTGTTAGCACAGCCCTGTGAGCCACACTATTTCCCATTATAAAAGACTAAATTACTCCGTGCTCTTACCTTATCATACAAGGGGATCATAAAGTAACCATTGTTAGGGGCACAGTCTGTCTGGTATTTCAAAGTCCCATGCTTGGTGTACAACTTTATCTAGAAAGAAAGAAAAGGAAACTCATAGTATCACCTTAGAGCAGCGGTTCTCAACCTGTGGGTCGTGACCCCTTTGGGGGTCGAACGACCCTTTCACAGGGGTCACCTAAAACATAACAGTAGCAAAATTACAGTTATGAAGTAACAATGAAAATAATGTTATGGTTGAGGGTCACCACAACATGAGGAACTGTATTAAAGGGTTGTGGCATTAGGAAGGTTGAGAACCACTGCCTTAGAGAATTAGCTATGTACATTACGCTTAACTGCATTCAGTCAATGCATTTGCTGAGGACTTAATTACTATATGCTGCTATTAACACCGGGCATGCAGAAGAGAAACAAGTGCCCCAAAATGGTGTAATTTAATACTTTTCAGGTTAAAAATCCATCTAAAGTGTACCCCAAAAGTTCTATTTTTCAATGCTTCTTTAAAATTTTAGTGACTGTTTCTATGTTGTTTCTGAATTAAAATTTTTCAAACTTGCTGTTAGTAAGGTGCTTGTTAAAAGTAGTTCCTGAGCCCCACTTCTGTTTCTAAATTAGGTCTGAGAAGACAGGACAAGCATCTGCATTATTAACCCCAAAGGATTTCCAATACTTATAGTAACACTCATCTGGAAACTCTAATTTTCTCTTTTATTTTCATTCTAGGGACAAAAACATATCAAAAGACATTTAATGTATGTCCTCTCCTCAAGGACTTTCTAAAACTCGTGCATCCTGAGCATTTCCAAACAAACTGTTAAGCCACTTAGATGCTCACATAACATCTGAGTCTCCCACATACTGTATGACCTTGGGCAAGTCTTTTACCATCCTTTGTTGCTTCATGGGTAAAAAGAGAGCCATTCCTCTTCATGGTGGCTGCAGATTCACAGTTATGCATATTAAGCACCTGGCACAGAGTATGGACTCATAAAAAAGTAGCCTGTATTACTATTTACAATTACTACCTTACTATATTACTATGTTGTATTACTAACGTCTCTCTGAAGAAAAAAAGCAGTGTGGTGTCACTGGCAGGGCAGAGACTGGATTCAAAAAGATTTCCTAAAACTACCTGCATGGATCTACCACTCTGAGCCTCAGTTTCTACATCTGTAAAAGGAAACAGTTGGATTTCACCTCTGAAATGTTAATGCTGTAACCATGATATGGAAATGACAGAGTTGCGTCATACCAGCTAAGAAGATATAAAAAGCAGCAAAGAACAAACCTCGCGTGTACACTTGGGAAAGGAACAGAGTTAAATTACACATGGACTGTAAGTGCCTCATGGGTATGACCACAGCTTATACTCCACCGTGCCTGGGACAGGGTCTCGTTTAGTGTAGGTGCTCAATAAATACTCAGTGAATCTATTTACAGGCCATACAGTAAATAAGATGCACAAATTTAAAGCAGGGACTAAAAATTCACCTGTCCAGAGGGGACAGGAAAACAATGGCGACAGGCATGCATTTAAAGGGAGACAAATCTACTACTCAACCCAGGCCAAGTTTTGCAGCCCAAACATCAGTTTCTTCAGAGAAGTCAGGAATCCAATTTTTAAAATGAAACCTCCTGATTGTCAGAGTATCAGCAACCAATATAATTTTTCATTTGTAGGGAGCCACCCGTTGTGTTCACGATACTGCTATATCCCCACGCTGGACAGTTTCAGTACATGCAGGGGCTCACTCAGTAGTTACTGACTGAATGAATATGATGGAAAAACACACAGAAGGGAAGAAGACTGGAGAAGAATAAAAGTAGTATTATTAGGAGACGGAAAATACAATCAAGAAATGATTGTGAAATATCTTGATTATTACCATGTCATTCATAAAGTACAAATCAGGTCACAGGGTGGCAATATATATTACACATATGAAATGTCTGATTGCATAATCAGAAATTATGAAAGAATAAATGTGTCAGACCATCTGGACAGGCAGCCCTGGGCTCAAGGGTACACACCTCATACTGGATCACAATACCTGCCCCTCAGCACTCAAGGTCACTATTGTGTTTGGGGTGGGAGTGCCCCTAATTGCTTCACTTTCCTCCCAGGGCCCCAGGAAACTATAAGCTACAAAAGGCTTATCAAGGCAGCTTCTGAAATGCCCTGTGCCCACACAATGGGAGGCATCCATGAGCTGGCATGGGCACCGAGCTGACCCTCGCAGCTCTACCCCCGCCAGTGGGTAGTCATTAATTAAACACCCAACTTCTTAAAGAGCAAAAATGGTGGAGAAGCCACAGATGGAGGGGCCTTACAGGTGATAACTGATGATCTTCTTTAGGAAATATAGAGCGCTAGGTTCCGCTGCTTCTCTCACACCTTCCTGCAGGAACAGAAACTGGGACTTGGGACAAGGCCAGGTCAAACTACGGGGGTATGGAACCTACTTCCTTCCCCTGCCCCAATGCTCAGCCACCTCTGTAGAACACACTGGTTTATTCTTCACCACGGCCCTGCAGCTGCCAGCACTGGGGAGGCTCACATGTGCTTTCAGGAAGCCGGCTGGGTCTCAGTCCCCAGTCCCTCCTTTTTGGCATCTCCCAGCCTGTTCCTTTTTTCTCTTTCAAATCCCCTTCTTCTGCCCCATCATCAGTACCCTCCTAAAACAGAGGCCACCCCTCCCTTGGGTTCCTTCCCACCCACCCTGACAAGTGACCTTCTATCCCCACCTCCATCAGCCTCCTTCCCTCTTCACAAAGCTTTCCAGGTCGTAATCCCACTGGGCTGATAACCATCTAACTGACGAGGGCTTTGCAACTTAATAAAAAGACTTCCGCACAAACCTCTAGTGTAATTCCAATACTACTCAGTTAGGCAATCAGGGCAGCTCACAACTCTCCACTTTCAGAGAAAAAGGAGTCCCAAGTGGGTAAGAAATGGGGGCCAGGGATTAAAAATACAGATGCTCAGCCCCAGAGATGCCAACAGAGATGTACCGGGTCGGGATATCTGGGATAGGAATTGATGTTCTTAAAAGGCACACCAGTGGGTTTAGAGGGGTTTAGTGGATTAGAACTTTGGGGGGCTCTGAGTTGTGAGGTTTGGGGCTGTAACACTTGTGGTCTCTAGGTTCTGGAATATGGCTTTGGGGAAATCTGAGTTTCTGGGGCTCTGAGTTTTGAGGACCTGGGGGCTGGGTCCTGCTGAGACTGGGTGTTAAGAGATCTGGGTTCTGGGGACCGTCTGGGTTCTGGGGTACCTTGAATCGATTCTGGGGACCGGGAGATTGGGTTTTCAGGAATCTGGGGGTCCTGGTTTGGAGGATCCTTGGTTTCGAGAGATCTGATAAAAGTCATGCACCACCATCCCCAGAAATGTCCCTCACACCCCTGCGCACACAGGTTCTGGCCCCATCCCGACCGCACGCGGACGCCACGGTGAGAACCTCCACTCGAGCGTCTGGGGAGCCGGCGGTGGAGGCCCGCGGACTCCCAGAACGTGGGACTGGTGGCAACCGCCTGGTGTCGGGGAGACCGCTGCGGCCCAGAGAGGGTGAGCGGCTGGCCCGGGGCCACACGGCGAGCTCCGGCCCGGCCACGGGGCGGGCGCTCACCTCGATGAGCGAGTAGTTGATCTCCACGTCGGACTTGACGAAGCCCCCGCAGCCCACCACGATGTCCTCGGAGCCGCGCGCCGGTCTCACGCCGCTCAGCAGCAGCACCACGGTGGCTGCCGCCACCACGAGCCCCGGCGGCCCAGCTCCCGGGTACACCCGCATGGCCCGGCCTCCGCCGCCGGACTCTGCAGAGGTCCGGTCCCGCTCCTCACACCACACGCTGCCCGCAGCTTCCTCCTCGGTGGGTGGCTGACAGCCCAAGTCCCACCCACCCCGCCACCGCGCGTGCGCGCGCTCCGGCCCGCGCCAACGCCCCCGGCAAGATGACTCCCGCGCATGCTCCACAACGAAGAAACCATCTGTGCCCTCTGGAGGACTGGAGGACTCCGCGTACCTGAGTCCTCGCGTCTGACAGGTGCAATTGCAAGGCGCGTGCGTACAGGCAAACAAACTCCAAGGAATTCTACTTTGGAATCCAGTATCCCTGAAACTGAAAAGGACGAGAGACTGTTGATGGAAGTATTCAACATTTTCCCCAAGTCTTTTTAACCCGTGTATTTCACAGGTGATACACAATCTCGAAAACTACTTTAGGAATTTGTATAAATTGGCAGATTTTTCCATGATAAATGACCAACAAGGTGGGTTTGTTTTTTTGTGTTCGTTTTTTTTTTTTTTTTAAGCAAAACAGGTCATTTGAGTTCGCTATAACATTTAAAATATATTTATATTTTATTTTAATCCCAGCTCTAACAACATTTGCATAGAAACAAATTTTAAGAGGTTTTTCCCCATAAGCAAGACATGAATGCAATTTAATTTACTTTGAATTACCTCTGTGAGATGAAGCATGATTTGTCTGAAGAGGAATTTTTGATTCAGTATGTTGTATTTTGTCCCAAGATTGAATATATATTATAACAGACAGAATTTAACTGTAGGTCATCCCATTGAAATAGACAAAAATTGCTTTTTCTGACCTGCCATTTGGAATTCTTCCTTTTGTTCCTAAAAATATTGAGTGCTTTAGTTTGATAGTGTTTCTATTTTGTTTCTAAATGACAACGTAAAGGAAAATGTCCCACTAGAATTTGCCACTGTGGTTAAGATTTAAGTAATGAAAACAATGAATCACAATGATTTTAAACTATACAAAGGTCAAAACCAGCACACTGAGGATCCTCAATACATCCACTGAGAATTTCAATCATGAGAGCATCTGACTTCAGTTTCTCAGTCTGAATTCTCACTTGAAATTCAATGAGACTTAACTGTTTGGTTATAGAGAGAAAATATTTAAATAACTGGTTTACTGCTTGAGGTTCATTATTTATCATTACAATGAAAATATATGCCCTTCACCCTCCCTAATACGAATCCCTGGTCTGTCTTGGCACATCACCAGGGTTGAAAGCCACCAGTTAGAAGGTGCTGGCTTAGGGAACTTTCTCACCAAGGGAAAGGGGCTCTCTGCATGCAGCCATGTGATGTTCAGAGAACTGGAAAGTAGGTTTGGAGGTGCACAAGTTCTGTTCTTGGCTCACCAACTATTTCTTCTATGTTCTTTCTGCCTTCCTGACCATTCCCACTTGAATTTCCACCATTCCCTTCAAATTCATCTTCAAATATACAAACAAATAAAGGACTAGGAGTGTGGTGATGCCAACTGGAGATAGGGTTTCAGGCAGAGGGAGCTCAGGCCTCCCCATAATTTCCAGCATCCTCCACCAAAACCACCTCACATAAACAGACATAATTTAAATATAAACAACAGACTGGCACACTCAGCTCCAAGACAAATCCTTCGGATCTTTGCGTCCCTGCTTTCCCAGAAGACCCAGACAGGAGGATGGCTGATGGGGAAACCAAAAAAGGGGCTTGGGGGATAAGGCCTAGGGAACCCATGTGGTTGAGGTCCTACAGAGAGCAGGAGAAAAGATGAGGTCAAAACCCTGAGAAGTAACAAGGCAGTGTGGAGAGAGCGGAGGATTTTGATTTTGCACCCAAACTGAGCATCTGTGCTTGTTTGTCTGAAAAAGCTGAGTCTTTCGTTCCTGTCCTAAAGGAACGTATGCTCATTGCAGAAGGAAAGAAAGTAGAAAACAAATGGAAAAAGTAAAGAAAATTAGAATTCCCATGATACTTCTTTAGTGCATTTCCATCTTTTTATTTATGCATATATGTCACATAGACTCATTTCCAAAAAGAACTCATGGCTGAGGACACACCTTACTTTAAGACCCAGGAGAAGAAGGTAAATGGCATGACTTCCCTACTTTCTCCAACTTAAGCATAAACTTTTTTTGGAAAATTTATCATAGCCTTTCTTGTACTATTATCTCTTTTTCCACTTTGCATTTAGCAATCATGTTTTCAAATTAATGTATTTCTGCAATGGCACTTTGAACCACTAATAACCTATGAATGAAAAAATAATGATAATACCAATAATAGCTAATTTGTTGAGCACTTGCCATGTGCCTGGCACTGTGCTGAACTCTTTACTAGTAATCTTTTAAAAATCTTCCCACCACCCTAGAAGGAGACCATGTCCATCCCCACGGATTCAAGAAGAGTGCAGCTTGGTCGAACGGTTCCCCCACCCACCCCGTATGTTGGACACTTAGCACGTGCTCACCTATTAGGTTCTTTCATCGGGATAAATTCCTGGATTTGCTGTTCCACAGTGTTCAGGAAGTTTAGGGTGACACTTTTTGCAGGGGGCTGGAAGGTTATATCGAGGTGCCATTGCACTTTCTGGAGCTGGGGGAATCCCCTTCCCTGGAGCCCTCTGGGGCCTCTCTGAGCTTTGTTTCACCAACCCTTCTTGCTCCACCCTCACCACCACGTTGGACCTTGCTCCTAGCTTCGCAATCCTGAGCTGGAATCCAGGCCAGGTCTGCCAGGCTCCTCCCCTTCCCGGTCTAGGAGACCGGCGAGGGGTCTGTCAGGGACTGACCTGCAGACCTACAGACAGACAGACAGAAGGACAGCACTGATGGCCGCACTGGGAGAGCCCAGCGTGGGACCGGGAGTGAGTGTCCCCTACCCATCCCACACCCCTTTTCCAGCTTGGTAGACCTCTCAGGGGTTATACTACTGGGGAGGGGGATACCCCAAATTCCAGGACAGATGAATCACAGGAGAGGGCAACCCCTTTAAATAAGCCCGTGTCCAGAAGAGCCCAGCAGAGTTAAAGGGGCCTTCAGGCCTAGGGGAACTTTGACCCCTATTTGTGTGAAGCTTCCGGACCCCCATCTCTCTCATCTAGGCTTTTAGAGGACCGTAGGGCATGGAGTTCATAGGGTGGCAGTGAGGGTCACAAAATCCCAGGATTTCAGGGGCCAGGTAGGTAAGGCAAAAATAATTCCTGATGTTTAAATGAGGGCTTACTTTGTGCCCAGCATCATGCTCTGTACTTTACTGGTATTGACTTATTTAATACAGCTCTTAGAGGTTGATTCTCTTATTATCCCCCCTTTGCAGGGAAGGAAATTGAGGCACAGGGAGGTTGCAGTTTACAGAGCTGGTGAGTGGTGAAGCTGGGAGGAGTAAAGACCACCAGCGGGGAAAGGGGTTGGGAGGCTATTCATATAGCAGGGAGAGAATTGAAGAGGCCGTGTTCTCCAAACTTCATATTCAAACTTCTAGGATTAGCAACAGCCAGCAGAGGGGCTGAGATAAGAATCAAACATCGAGAACAAGGGTTGGCGTCAGACAGGCCTGCATGGAGTCAGCTCTGTCACTTCCTATGTGTATGAGCCCGAAGAAGGCCGTTCCCCTCTCAGGGCCTCTGTTTCCCAGGTCTGTGAAATGGGGACAGTAACACCTACCTCCTAGAGTTGTTATAGGGATTCAGTGACAGTCTGTGCTCCGCATTGTCTCCTAGACTCCTGGACCCAACCACCTGAGTTCAAATCCCAGCACTACCACCTTCCAGCTGGGTGACATCAGCCAAGTTAGTCAACCTCTCTGGGCCTCAGCTTCCTTATGCACAAAATCAGTGTGATAATTGCATCTACCTCATAGGGTTGATGTCAGGACTAAAGAAGTTGAGAATTATAAGGTATTCCAAAGAGTGCTTGGCATGTTTTCATATAAATGTTAGGGGTCTAAAAAGTTGCCTGCCCCCCTAAGCAGGTGGGTTTGGGACCCCTGCATTGTACTATCATAAGGGTGGTCGTGGTGTTCTCTCAGGTCTGGAACCAGACGGAGCCTGAGCCCGCCTCTGACAGCCTACTGAGCCTCTGCTTCCTGAAAACGGCAGGGGCCTGGGTGCCCCCCATGTACCTCTGGGCCCTTGGCCCCATCTACCTCCTCTACATCCACCGCCATGATGAGGGCTACCTCCGCATGTCCTCCCTGTTCAAGACCAAAATGGTAGCTACCGCCTCTGAGCACCTGGAACCAGACAATGGTTGGGGGTGGGGGTGGGAGGAACAGCCTGGGAACTGGCAGAGACCCCAAAGTGGACACTCCTCCTATCAAGGAGCACACGGGGCAGGGGCAAGAAGGGAACTTGTTAACCAAACAGAGCAATACTCCACAGGCTACAGAGATAAACTCAGTGGAACAAGGTTCACCCAGACGGGTTGGTAATAATGAAAATCCACAGACACACACATCCACTCACACATTCCTGAAGAGTTTCTGACATTCTGCAAAGAATGGACACACAAGGTGATTTTAGGGTCACACTAGGATAAACCTTTTACATTTTTAACAGTTATGTTTATGTTTCCCTACTGTCAGTACTAAAAAAAAAAAAAATAACAACAACAACAAAAAAACAGTTCTTAAAATTGTATCTATTTTAGTGAGTTAGAAAAACACTGACATTCTAAGGGTCAGCCTTTCTGTTTAGCTTACCCTTTTCCTCCATCCTCCAGACTTTTACAAGAATGCCCTTCGACGTTCATTCATTCCCACACCACCTAGTTAATTCGTGTCCTGTTGCCGACCATCTCTCTACTGTTGACACACTCTCCCTTAAAGAGCCAGGTAGGACACATTTGAGGGTTTGAGAGTCGTGTGGTCTCTGTCCCGACTCCTGAGTTCTGCCACTGCAGTGGGGAAACAGCCGCAGACCACAGGAGACAAACAGGCACAACTGCGTTTCAAAAAAAACCACTATTTACAGTCACTGAAATGTGAATTTCATGCAATTTTCACGCATCATGACATATTTACTTTTTTGAGTGTGGTTCATTGATTGGAAAATGTCGAAAACCATGCTTAGCTCACAAGCAATACAAAACAGGCAGCGTGCCAAACTCA